CAAGCCCTATACACTTTTTTTTGGCCTGCCCGGGGGTTTTTTTTGCCCTGCCCGAGATTGCGTCTTGGGGTGCGTCTTACAGGTCCAGGTGACGCGTCCTGCGTCTGGACGCATGCGTCTGGACGCAATCGTCCAGGACGCAGGACGCGTCTTTCGACACATAGCCCACCACAGACATGACCTGTCCTGCAGGTTCCTACCTGCACGGGGACAAGTGCTGCAAGTGCCAGCCCGGCACATACAGAAGAGCACACAAGATGACATCCATGCATCCCTCCCCTCCCCATGCCACATCCCATTTATCCCTCCCTTTCCCCACAGACATGACCTGTCCTGCTGGTTCCTACCTGCACGGGGACAAGTGCCGCAAGTGCAGGCCCGGCACGTACAGCATGGGGGGAGGGATCCGATTCGATGCTTTCTACGAGCTTGACGATCGGTTGTTCCAGGTACGGTTGGGCTGCATGGCAGTTCAATAATTACATTCATGGTGACAAGTGTTGCAAGTGCAAGCCCGGCACGTACAGCATGGGAGGAGGGGTCCGTTTCGTTTTGACGCTTTCTATGAGCTTTGATGACCGCCTGTTCCAGGTATGGTTGTCTGGCTTGGCAGTGCAGTGGTTTAGACCCATGCTGACAAACAAGTGCAAGCCCGGCACGTACAGTGTAGCATGGGAGGAGGGATCCTTTTCGACGCTTTCTATGAGCTTGATGACCGGCTGTTCCAGGTATGGTTGTGTATGGTTGGGTATGGTTGGGTATGGTTGGGTGTGGTTGGGTATGGTTGGGTATTGTTGGGTATAGTTGTGTATGGTATGGTATGGCAGGCTGGCCCGGCAGTGCAATGGTTGCATTAGACCCATGGTTTCAAGGCAAACCAGTGCAAGCCCGGCTCATACAGCATGGGGGGGAGGAATCGGGTTCGACGCTTTCTATGAGCTTGATGACCGGCTGTTCCAGGTATGGTTAGGTACTTGTTGATACAGCAGTTAAGGTGCTTGAGTCGACTCAATGCCTGGCTTCCTGCCTCGTACAGCATGGGGGGAGGAATCCGGTTCGAAGCTTCCTACGAGCTTTATGTCTGGTTGTTCCAGGTATAGCTGGGTACTTAGTGGTACGGTAGTTTCTGAGGCACCTTGAAGTTCGTCATTGTGGCGCCTCAATATAAGGCTCATAGCCGTTTTTCCAGGTATATAGTTGGGTTACTTCTCGGTACTTCAGCCCCTTTTCTTTAAGATAAGACAACGTTTTTCCAAAATAAATACGTATGGGGAAACCCGAATTGGAATGAGCCGTGTTTTTAACCTTGATATATGGTTCTTTTTAACTTGCTGCTCACATGCATCTCTTGCTTACCCTTTCTACCGCTCTGTATCCCTCCCTTTCTCTGCCAGACCGACTGCACCCATTTCAACTCCTCCGGTTCATACAAGTGCGACGGGTAAGGCCATCTGGATGCGTCACTCACGCAAACATATGTGTCGGTGCAGCAAGTACCCGTGCTTTATCCAGCAAACATCTCAAATGCGGAAGTTTAGGCCTATGCGCCTAGGCCCTAGTTGGCAGTGTTTACCTAAGTGTCTGGCTGGCCCTGAGCGGGAGGACCAACCAAGGCTTATGTAGACTTAATAAGCTTCCTGAATAGTTTTGAGACGTCACAAAAGAGTTTTGAGACGTCTCAAAATAAGTAGACTCTATAAGCTTCCTGTATAGATTTGAGACGTCTCTAAGGAGTTTTGAGACGTTTGAAAATAAGTCGACTCAATAAGCTTCCTGTATGTTTGCGATTCTTGGTTGGTTCTCACCTCCCCCACCCCAACAGGTGGTATGCATCAGAGGGTCAGCTCAAAGTTGGCCCATACGACCCACCCAATGAATGGTACCCGGTAAGACTTGTGCAAGCATGTGCACACACACCAAGTGAATTGAATCTTGAATCAATGCAAACGTTCCCAACAGGTGGTATGCATCAGAGGGTCAGCTTAAAGTCGGGCCTTATGACCCACCCAATGACTGGTACTCGGTAAGGCTCATGCATCATGCATCATGCATCATGCATGTGCACACCACATGACTTGAATTTTGAACCAATGCAAGCGTTCCCACCAGAGAGGGTCAGCTTAAAGTCGGCCCTTACGACCCACCCAACGAATGGTACCCGGTAAGGCTCATGCGTACGCCACGTGAAGTGAGACAAAGGGTTTAGGGTTTCGGGTCTAGGTGCCCATTACAAAAAGGTTAATGAGCTGCCACACCCAGCCTGCTTGTTCGCTCCCTCATTCCGCTGCTCATATTTCCTCCTCCCTCATATCATATCACTCGTCTCACTCCCCCTAATCCCACTTCACAGGGCGATTGCTCCCTGGGGTCGTACAACTGCCACAACAACCTGCTCCCTCGCCTTGCTTCCCTCATCTTCCTTCATCCTTCCCCCTAAATCCACAATGTCACCTCCTTCTCTTTGCAGGACGACTGCTCCCTGGGGTCGTACAACTGCCACAACAACCTGCTCCCTCGCCTTGCTTCCCTCATCTTCCTCCATCCTTCCCCCTAAATCCACAATGTCACCTCCTTCTCTTTGCAGGACGACTGCTCCCTGGGGTCGTACAACTGCCACAACAACCTGCGTGCATCGCTGCGCATGCAAGTGGAGCTCATTCGATCGGGGTGAGTGAGTGCGGTGCGTGCTGTGCGATTTTATGGTATCCTATATCGCTTCATCCGGCCCCATCCCCAGCCCCCCACCCAACCAAAGCTACATCCGGTATCGCTTCACTATGAGTGTGGAGCACAAGTTCGACTGAAGAGACTCATGTATTAAACCCCATCCGCCATCCCGTTCCCTTCGCCAACCACCCTCCCTCCTCTACTCTCAGCTACATCCGGTATCTCTTCACAGTGAGGGCGGAGCACAAGTTTGATAAGCTGCTCTTCGTCCTCCCCACTGCTCTCATCTTCCTCGACCCTCTGCCCCATCTCCCACCCATACACAAACCCCCTCATTCCTCTACTCTCAGCTACATCTGGTATCTCTTCACAGTGAGGGCGGAGCACAAGTTTGATAAGCTGCTCTTCGTCCTTCAATCCTCTACTCTCCTCCTCCCCCAATTCCCCAACTCCCCTCCCCTGTTCCTTCATCCCCCTTCCCTCAACCCCCAACCAACCCTGCCACTGCTACATCCGGTACACTGTTCCTTGACGGGCGCCAGAGACGTTTCAGACAGTGCCCTGGAAGGCACTGGGTACAAGTTCACAGTGAGCGCAGAGAACAAGTTTGATGGGCTGCTCTTCTTCTCCACTCCTCTCTTTTCTCCCCTCCACGCTGCCCCATCCCACCCCCCTCTCCCTTCCATCCCACCAACAGCTACGTCCGGTACAAGTTCACAGTGAGCGCGGAGCACAAGTTTGATGGGCTGCTCTTTGTCCTCTCCTCTCCTCTGGTCTTCCGCTACCGCCTGCCCCATCCTCCCTCCCTTCCCCCTCCCCCATCCCCCTTCCCCCCCCCATCCCCCATCCCCCATCCCCCATCCCCCGAACCCCTTCCCCACCCGCAGCTACATCCAATACCGCTTCACAGTGAGCGCAGGACACAAGTTTGACTGAATTGACTTAAAAAGCATTCCTTCCTACTTCCCCCCCCTTCCCCTCCCTTCTCTCCACCATCCCACCCGCAGCTACATCCGGTACAAGTTCACAGTGAGCGCGGAGCACAAGTTCGACGGGCTGCTCTTCTTCCTTGACTCCTCGCCAGAGCCCCTGATGGGCCTCGAGTCCAACCAGGTGAGTGAGTGTGTGAGTGAGTCGGCCCTCCAGGCCCCCCTTGTTTGGTGCTCGCTTTCACTCATTGTGAGCCGGTGACTTCTGAGCGACTCGAGAGTCGCCTCAGTTTGACGGGCTGTTCTTCTTCCTTGACTCCTCACCAGAGCCCGTGATGGGCCTCGAGTACAACCAGGTGAGTATAAGTCGGCCCTCCTGGTTTGCTGCTCCCAGTGTGAGCCGAAGACACTGGGTCTTCGGGTCAACTCAAGAGTCGCCCAGACTCAACCGAGGGGCTTCTCAGCTTAACAGGAGCTGATGATGGGCCTCACGTGTTGGTATATTGAGAAAGAAGAGCAGTACAAATAGTGCATGAGGTGAGTGACCAAAGTTAGGGTTACCCCTATTGGCTGACCAATATGGTGGGGGTCCAGCCCAATAATTGAGGTTGCGCCAATTATTGGAGGGGCCAAACATTGGAGGGGTTGGCCACCAATGTTGGCTCCCCAACAATAATGGTCGCCTGGGTTGTGGAAACCCAACCAAAAGTTGGGAGACCTCCTGAATGTGTACACCCATGATTTGGGTGTACACTATTTGGTCTAGCCATATGCATGCTATAATCTAACACAACCAGGTGAGTCGGTTGTCCCAACTGGTTCGCTGCTCACTTTCACTTTCACTTCACTCATGGTGAGCCTGTATCTCTTGATCGACTTAATGGTCGCCTCACTTTCACGGGCTGCTCTTCTTCCTTGACTAATTGCATCACCAGAGCACATGATGGGCCTCGAGTCCAACCAGGTTCGGTTCGGTTCAGTTGGGTTCTCTTCTGCTTCTGTCCAATGGTCTGTCCCGTGCCGTGCCGCGCCTTGCCTTCCCCCACCAGTTCGACCCAATGAAGGTGCAGATAATGCTGGAGCCGGGTGGGCAGTCACACGCTGGAGTGGGTTGGGTTTGCTACAAAGAGCCATCCGTACATGCTCCCCCCCCCCCCCCCCCCCCCCCCCCCTCCCCTGCCTGCCTGTTCAACCCAACCTCCCCCTCTGCCAGTTCGACCCAATGGAGGTGCAGATAATGCTGGAGCCGGGCATTCACACACTGGAGTGGGTTTACTACAAGTAGGCACGAGCACAGAGTCAGGCACACAGCTCCCCCACCCTGCCTGCTCAAACAACCCACTGTCAGGGCCTCACCCTTCCTTCCCCATTTTTCCGCAACCCTCTCTATGCCAGTTCGACCCAATGGAGGTGCAGATAATGCTGGAGCCGGGCATTCACACGCTGGAGTGGGTGTATTACAAGGACTCCAAGTTCACCAAGGGCAGGGACTCCGCTGCCCTGCACGTGAGTGGATGAAGGGATGCCTCTTGTGCTCATATGGAGGTAGTGGGGTAGTGAGTGAAAGCTGGGATTCACACACTGGAGTGGGTTTACTACAAGGATTCCAAGTTCACCAAGGGGAGGGACTCCGCTGCTCTTCATGTGAGTGTCCTGTGCTGCTGCTGAGGGGTAGTGAGTGAAAGCCAGGCATCCACACACTAGAGTGGGTTTATTACTAGGATTCCAAGTTCACCAAGGGCAGGGACTCCACTGCCCTGCACGTGAGTGTGTGGGAGTGGCACTGCGCGGACAGGAACGATTTTTGAGGCGCCTCAAAAAACGCTGCCCTGCACATGAGTTTGTGGGAGTGGCACGGCGCGGATGGGACAGGAACGACCTGAGGCATGGATGAGCGCCTTGCCTCAGAATAGAAGAAGAAGGAGAAGAAGAAGAAGAAGAAGAAGAAGAAGAAGAAGGAGAAGAAGAAGAAGAAGAAGAAGAAGAAGAAGGAGAAGAAGAAGGAGAAGAAAAAAAAAAAGGGAAAAAAATGGAGAGAGCAAAATGTAGGGCAAACCTCTTCCAAATACATCATAGCGTAGGGCTAGGAATGGTGCTTGTCCAATTGCTCACGCCAACTGTCATGAGATTGATCCTCTTGTCGTTTTCCCTTCTGCCTGCCTTCCGTTTCTGCCTACTTGTGTGCGTGCAGCTGATAGAGGTGGGGGGCATAGACTACACGGACCGACAGTGCTTCCCATGCCAGGCAGGCTTCTACAGGTGAGCCGAGCAGCGGGCAGTGGTGGGCAGTGGTGGGCAGTGGTGGGTGGTGGTGTGCAGTGGTGGACAGAATCAACACGGGGCAGGGGGGGCAGTGAGCAGGAAGTAGGGGACAGGGGGCAATGAGTGGAACGGCATGCCAATCCCGTGGTGTCATTCTGCTTCTGATCTGAACATCAGTGTGCTGCTTAGGCTCACAGGCGTGCTAGCTAAGCCTTTTTTTCTTCTTCTTCTTCTTTTGGAGCCGACACAACATTCCACCTTACGTTTCTTTAGGAATTTCCGGCCATGCCATGCCACTTTCTGCTGTTTGGTTGCATTCCATTTCTTTTTCTTTGCTGCAGTGACGAGGGCTCTACTGAGTGTGCGCCATGCCCTGTCGACCACTACTCCCAGTGAGTGCCGGTGATGGTGATGATGGGTCCATGGTGGTGCAGGCGATAGTGACTAGAGTGCGAGCCATGCAGTGCCGAGCCATGCAGTGCCGAGCCATGCAGTGCCGAGCCATGCAGTGCCGAGCCATGCAGTGCCGAGCCATGCAGTGCCGAGCCATGCAGTGCCGAGCCATGCAGTGCCGAGCCATGCAGTGCCGAGCCATGCAGTGCCGAGCCATGCAGTGCCGTGCCATGCAGTGCCGAGCCATGCAGTGCCGAGCCATGCAGTGCCGAGCCATGCAGTGCCGAGCCATGCAGTGCCGAGCCATGCAGTGCCGAGCCATGCAGTGCCGAGCCATGCAGTGCCGAGCCATGCAGTGCCGAGCCATGCAGTGCCGAGCCATGCAGTGCCGTGCCATGCAGTGCCGAGCCATGCAGTGCCGTGCCATGCAGTGCCGAGCCATGCAGTGCCGAGCCATGCAGTGCCGAGCCATGCAGTGCCGAGCCATGCAGTGCCGAGCCATGCAGTGCCGAGCCATGCAGTGCCGAGCCATGCAGTGCCGAGCCATGCAGTGCCGAGCCATGCAGTGCCGAGCCATGCAGTGCCGAGCCATGCAGTGCCGTGCCATGCAGTGCCGAGCCATGCAGTGCCGAGCCATGCAGTGCCGAGCCATGCAGTGCCGAGCCATGCAGTGCCGAGCCATGCAGTGCCGAGCCATGCAGTGCCGAGCCATGCAGTGCCGAGCCATGCAGTGCCGAGCCATGCAGTGCCGAGCCATGCAGTGCCGTGCCATGCAGTGCCGAGCCATGCAGTGCCGTGCCATGCAGTGCCGAGCCATGCAGTGCCGAGCCATGCAGTGCCGAGCCATGCAGTGCCGAGCCATGCAGTGCCGTGCCATCCTTGTTACATTGAGGAGGGCTCTACTGAGTGTGCGCCATGCCCTGTCGACCACTACTCCCAGTGAGTCACGGTGATGGGTCGATGGTGGTGTAGGTGGTGGTGCAGGTGGTGGTGTAGGTGGTGGTGCTGGCTGCAGTTTAAGCCATGCAGTGGCATGCCAATCCGCTGCTGCTTCCTCCTTGTTTGCAGTGAGGATGGCTCCACTGAGTGTGCGGCGTGCCTTGATGAGTGTGCAAAATCAGCTCACTTCCCCACCCCATCTATCACACCACACACACACACACCACCCGATCCACTCATAACACTGTCCCAGGGAGGGCTGGCCAGCGTTCAAGCCATGCAGTGCTGATCAGTATGCAAACACATGCCCAACCATCATCTCAGCACCCCATCCGTCACGCCACACACATGCCAACCCATCCATCTATCATCCATCCACGTATACCATCGCAGGGAGGGCTGGCCGGAGTGCAAGCCAAGCCATGCAGTGCTGCTGACGTTTTGACTGCCTTTACATTTCAATCATGTCAGCACCTCTCTCTTTCTCTATCACACCGCCCTCATGCCATCCCATCCCATCCCATCCCATCCACCTGTATGCCTGCCATCGCAGGGAGGGCTGGCCGGAGTGCAAGCCATGCAGTGCGGAAGAGTATGCGCAGTCGCCTCCTCGAGCCAACTGCACTGCCAGGCCTCGTATGTGTGCTGTGTGGTGCTTTGCTATGATCCATGCGACTTCAGCTCAGCTCTCTCACGTTTCGTTTTTGTTCCCTCCAGATTCTCTAGCTCCCTCTTGTTGCAGGCTTTTTTTAAGAGTGCTAAAAGAACGTGTTTTATGATTCATGCGACACCAGTTCAGTTTCCTCACGTTTTGTTACCCTCTACCTCCACAATCTCCTCTAGCTCCCTCGCTCTACTCCCTTCCGGTTCCTCCCTCCCTTCCCTTTTTGCCACTGAGCCTGCTGCTGCTCCTCCGCCTCCGTTTCCCTTCCACTACGCCCCTCCCTCCTCGACAAATCACCAGCGTGCAATGTGACAACGGATGCCGCCCCCACCTACGGCAACTGTAGCGCAGTGGACAACCAGAGAATTAAGGTGAGATGAGATGCACAGAGGAAGGGAAATACTGTTGGATGCAGGGAATGGAAGGTAATCCGGTGGGTGGGAGGTGTTTTATCAGGAGTTGAGCTGTTTAGTTGCTGGTAAGATTGAAACCCAATGCCGATGGTGATGGTCTCTCATATGCTCTCCCTGACAAGGCAACTCAAAAAGCCACTGTACTGATGGTATCACATGCCCGCCCTTGCACCACCGCACCGACCAACTCACTCCGTCCTTGGTCCTCCTCATCCTTGCATTGCGTACATTTTTCAGCAGCAGGCTTCCATTACGTGCCTTGTCATCCACAAATCCTCCCGGTCCACACCTGGGCTGGGCATGCATCCTCGTGTGATAAGTCGATTTTTTAGTCGACTCTAAAATCCTCCCGGTCCACACCTGGGCTGGGCATGCCTCCTCGCCCCTCGTGTGATAAGTCGATTTTTGAGTCGACTCTAAAATCCTCCCGGTCCACACCTGGGCTGGGCATGCCTCCTCGCCCCTCGTGTGATAAGTCGATTTTTTAGTCGACTCTAAAATCCTCCCGGTCCACACCTGGGCTAAGTTGCAAAATACGCTTATAGCGTATATACGCTTATCGTATATACGCTAGCGTATATAAGCTATCCGCTTAGGGGGCGATTTGGACATACGCTTTTTCGGGCAGGGAAAAAACTTCCCCGGGCAGGGCAAAAACAGCCGCCAGGGCTGTTATAGGGGGGAATCTAGGGTGTTATGTTTCAGAGGTGATATTTTTAGCCTTCAATTAGATTGCAACTCCTACACACATTACTACATAATACTCTCCTACCGCCAGGGCTATTATAGGGGGGGAATCTAGGGTGTTATTCCACAATTTTTTTAGGTCGGGCTGCCCCAAAAAAATATTTGCCAGCGTTTAGCGTATTTGCTGGTGTTTAGCGTTTAGTGTGTAAACGCCAGCGTATATCCGCTAAACGCAAAGGGTCTCTAGCGTTTTTTGCAACTTAGCACCTGGGCTGGGCATGCCTCCTCGCCCCTCGTGTGATAAGTCGATTTTTGAGTCGACTCTAAAATCCTCCCGGTCCACACCTGGGCTGGGCATGTCTCCTCGCCCCTCGTGTGATAAGTCGATTTTTTAGTCGACTCTAAAATCCTCCTGGTCCACACCTGGGCTGGGCATGCCTCCTCGCCCCTCATGTGATAAGTCGATTTTTGAATCGACTCTAAAATCCTCCCGGTCCACACCTGGGCTGGGCATGCCTCCTCGCCCCTCGTGTGATAAGTCGATTTTTGAGTCGACAATGAAATCCTCCCGGTCCACACCTGGGCTGGGCATGCCTCCTCGCCCCTCGTGTGATAAGTCGATTTTTGAGTCGACTCTAAAATCCTCCCGGTCCACACCTGGGCTGGGCATGCCTCCTCGCCCCTCGTGTGATAAGTCGATTTTTGAGTCGACTCTAAAATCCTCCCGGTCCACACCTGGGCTGGGCATGCCTCCTCGCCCCTCGTGTGATAAGTCGATTTTTGAGTCGACAATGAAATCCTCCCGGTCCACACCTGGGCTGGGCATGCCTCCTCGCCCCTCGTGTGATAAGTCGATTTTTGAGTCGACTCTAAAATCCTCCCGGTCCACACCTGGGCTGGGCATGCCTCCTCGCCCCTCGTGTGATAAGTCGATTTTTGAGTCGACTCTAAAATCCTCCCGGTCCACACCTGGGCTGGGCATGCCTCTTCGCCCCTCGTGTGATAAGTCTATTTTTTAGTCGACTCTAAAATCCTCCCGGTCCACACCTGGGCTGGGCATGCCTCCTTGCCCCTCGTGTGATAAGTCGATTTTGAGTCGACTCTAAAATCCTCCCGTTCCACACCTGGGCTGGGCATGCCTCACCCCCCACATTTATTCACCGCACACCATTCCCCTCTGCTCCCCCACCCCCTCCCCCAACCCAAACCCCTCCTCCCCGCCCCTACCCCTCCCCTCCTCTCCCCATCCTCCCTGCATCCCCATCCTCCCTGCATCCCCATCCTCCCTGCATCCCCTCCCTTCCTCACTTTCCACATCGGCATGCCCTTCTCAATCATTCACCTCGCACCAATTTCCGCAACTCTACCACCCTTCCCCCACCACCCCCCTTCTTCAGACATGGGCATGGCTCACGCCCCACATCTGTGCGCCTCTCTCGGAGGACGAAGACCTCCCTGCTGACACCCACGAGCCGTGCCGTGAGTGCAGTGCACTGATCGTGATGGGGTGTGTTTTTTTTTTTGAGAGTTCTAAAAAATTACTCACAATGGGGAGTGTTGTCGTGCCATCTGAGTGAGAGTGAGTGCACGAGTGCTGTCTGTGTGAGCGGGTGCGGGCAGCATGCTACCTGAGTCACTCCCCACATCTGCGCGTCCCTCTCAGAGGACAATGACCTCCCTGCTGACACGCACGAACCGTGCCGTGAGTGCCATGGCAGTGGTGCGTTGTGGATAGATAACTGAACAGTGTTTGGATAGATGGTGCGTTGATGAAGGCCTTAGAAGGCTTGCAGCGGCTCGAAACCACCCGATTTAAACTGTTTGGATAGATGGTGCGAGGATTTTCGTCGTCTGTGTGTGGTTGCTTGGAGGCATGCCGTCAAGAGTCACGTGGCTTGTAATGTGATGGTAATGACGGTACTGGTCTGATGACGATGATTCTGTTGATGCTGATTATGATGGTGTGTGGCTTTGATCTTCATGAAAATGTGTGTGCTTCGCCTCCCTTCCCATGCGTCCCCTTCTCCTCGCGCGCTACCTCCATCCCCATCCCCTTCTCGCGTCCCCATCCCCCTCCAGCTACCTCGCGTCCCCTTCTCCTCGCGTGCTACCTCCACCCCAACCACAGCGCCATGCCCCTCGGGTCAATACGCTGTGGAGGACAGCACTACATACACCAGACTCTACCACTTGTCTTGTGTGCCCCCTTCTCTCTCCCCCCACCACAGCCCCCTGCCCCTCAGGTCAATACGCTGTGGAGGACAGCACCACGCGCACCAGGCTCTGCCACTTCTGCCCACCGGTAAGCCTGCCCGTAGTGTGTGCGTGTGTGCGTGTGTGCGTGCGTGCGTGCGTGCGTGCGTGCGTGCGTGCGTGCGTGCGTGCGTGCGTGCGTGCGTGCGTGCGTGCGTGCGTGCGTGCGTGGTACATCTCCCACAGACAAGGCGTGCCACAAGTGCCCCCCGCCATCCCGCCACAGGCGCTCACCAGGGACCACTTTGAGCTTCCATTTCCCACACGCCCCACCATCCCATCACAACCCCATATAACCGCACTCAACCTCATTTTCCACTCCCAGGGCCTGGCAGCGCCTCAGTCTCTCCCACGAGTATAGTGTGCCTCAAGTGGCCTTCACGGGAGGTGCCGGTGAAGCCGCTCACCATGAGCCACTTTGAATCGAACTGCTCCCTACCTGCTTCCCTCATGCCCTTCCCCGCTCTCTCTTACCATGGCAGGGCCTGGCACGCAAAGCATCCATTTCCTCAACACAACAGACAAGACAAGGCGTGCCGCAAGTGCCCCCCGCCCCTGGGGGAGGTGACAGGCGGCGAAGGCGCTCACCATATGGACTGCTTTGAGCTGCAATTTCCCACTCGCCCCTCCCCTCCCATCCCATCCCATCCCATCACAACCCTACTAAACCCCACCTTCCATCCAATGGCAGGGTCTGGCACGCAATGCCTCAGCTTCTTCCACGGACAAGGCCTGTCGCAAGTGTCCCCCAGGGGAGGTGGCAGTGAAGGCACTCACCATGGACCACTTTGAGCTGCACCGGGGGAAGCTTCCTGACGGCTTCGTGACGGGTTGCAGCGGGGACTGCGGTTCGCTGGGGTGGAGAGTGGTGAACGGGAAGCTGGACTCTGGCAGCAACCACGGCAAGAGTGCCTCTGTAAGATGTGACTAAGGAAAATAGCGAAGTGCCCCCTGTTTGTTATTTTTTTATCCACCTGTTTTTCTCTCCCTTGATCCATTTTGGTTCAATGCTGTTGTTCCTCTGTCGCATCATTGGACCTCCATCACCTTCCCTTCTCTCCCTCCTTCCATCACCCTCATCCCCTTCTCTTGGCCCATCACTCATCTCATCCGCTCCCAAATGCACCAGCTGTGGCTGTCCTACGATGTCAACATGAATCTGTTTTTCGAGGTTTTTTTTTTTTTTTTTTTTTTTTTTTTTTTTTGTGTTGTAAGGAGAGAATTCTCAAAAAACAAATTCACCCAAATGCACCAGCTGTGGCTGTCCTACGATGTCAGCATGGCAGTGGACGGACACGTACACATTCGCCTACGACGTGGACATACCACGGGGGTGGGGGGACAAGGGGAAGCCCCCAATCTGTTTTTGGTGCTCCGTCTCTCCTCCCCTTCTATCCTCCCTCCTCGATCCACCAGGTCTGGCTCTCTTATGATGTCAGCATGGCAGTGGACGGGCACGTCACATTCGTCTACGACGTGAACATACCACTGGAGACCTGCAGAGAGGGCACTCTTTGCTCTTGGTTGTCCTTCTCTTGTCCACTCCTCTCCTCCGCTCCACTTCTTTCCTCGCCTCCTCCCCTCCTCCGCTCCTCCCCTCCTTCCCTCCTCCCTAATCCACCAGGTGTGGCTCTCCTATGACGTCAGCATGGCAGTGGACGGGCACGTCTCATTCGCCTATGACGTGGACATACCAGGGAGGATGAAGGACCTGCAGAGAAGCCCGCTCTCTGCTCTTGATCTCTCCTCCTCTCACATCTCTCTCCCCTCCTCCTCTTCGTTCCCCTTCAGGTATGGCTCTCTTATGACTTCAGCATGGCAGTGGACGGGCACGTCTCATTCGCTTACGATGTGGACATACCACGCGGGGACCTGCAGAGGGGGCTCTTCTTCTACGTGGACGATCAGCTGGTGCTGAACATCGAGGTGAGTGAGTGATAGTGCGGTGGTGGTTGGAAGTACAGGCAGAGCTCTTCTCTCTGCCACTCTGACCTGCAGAGGGGTCTCTTCTTCTACGTGGACGATCAACTGGTGCTGAATATTGAGGTTAGTTGAGTTGTTTTTGTTGTAAATGTATCTTATATATACAACATACATAGGCTAGAATAGGTGTAGCTCTTTAAGCCATTGGGGGGTTGGGTGTACACGTCAACCACACTTTGTGGTTGGGTCAAGATTTGGTTTGGTCTTGGTCCTTGGTTGGCACTTGCCAACATTTGGTCCTAAGGCCAACCAATCACAAGCTAGCAACATTGTGGGGTTCCCTACTCCACAAGGCAACTCACCCATTGGCCAACTTAGTGGCCAATAGGGTTGCACCTTCTTCCAACCTCTCTTCCTTGCATGCTTGTACTATAGAGCCTCCTTGGCTCATTACTCAACCATTCTCTTGAATCCTATCATGGTATTCAGAGCCAAATGGCTCACGCCACCTCCCTCGATCCTTAGGCCGTAATTTCCTCTCCGCGTCTTAGATCTAGCCTCCCGCGGCCTCAATCCTCCCTCCCGTACCTCAGATCTAGCTTTCCGCGGCTCAGATCTACTCCTCCGCGGCCTCAATCCTCCCTCCCGTACCTCAGATCTAGCTTTCCGCGGCTCAGATCTACTCCTCCGCGGTCTCAATCCTCCCTCCCGCGGCCACAATCCTCCCTCCCGCGGCCTTAATCCTCCCTCTCGCGGCCTCCGACCGCTCTCCCGCGGCCTCAATCCTCCCTCCCGCCGCCACCCCTCCCTCACGCCTTCCGTCGCGGACAGCCAGCACACCGTCGCGGACGGCCAGCAAGCCGTCGCGGACGGCCAGAAAGCCGTCGCGGACGGCCAGCACACCGTCGCGGACGGCCAGCAAGCCGTCGCGGACGGCCAGAAAGCCGTCGCGGACGGCCAGAAAGCCGTCGCGGACGGCCAGCAAGCCGTCGCGGACGGCCCGCAAGCCGTCGCGGACGGCCAGCCAACCGTCGCGGACGGCCAGCCCGCGGCCACGAGCACCCCGCGCGTCGACGCGGACGGCCAGCGCGGAGTCGCGGCCGACCTGTGCGCCATCCCGAACGGCCGCCGCGCGATCGCCGACGACCTCCGCGCCGACGCGGACGACCGACGCGGAGCCGCGGCCGACCCTCGCGCTGACGCGGACGGCCGACGCAGAGCCGTGGCCGACCCTCGCACTGACGCGGACGGCCGACGCAGAGCCGCGGCCGACCCTCGCGCTCTCACGGGCGGCCGACGCGCCGCCGCGACTGACCTGCGCAACCTCCCCCCTTCATCCGCGCCCTGCCCCACACTTCCGCGCCATCCTTCCTCTCCCCTACCTCCTCCCCCCCCCTCCTACTTCACCCTTAATCGCACCAGCAACAGCACCTAGCAGCGACCTTTAACCCTAAACCAGCAGCGCCACCCTGTTACGGCACCAGCAGCGGCACCTTCAACGGCACCAGCAGCGGCACCTTCAACGGCACCAGCAGCGGCACCTTCAACGGCACCAGCAGCGGCACCTTCAACGGCACCAGCAGCGGCACCTTCAACGGCACCAGCAGCGGCACCTTCAACGGCACCAGCAGCGGCACCTTCAACAGCACCAGCAGCGGCACCTTCAACAGCACTAGCAGCAGCACCTTCCCGACTTCGCCATCATGGCGTCCGCAGACTCATCGGTCGACCTGGCGACCATTGACTCTCTCGAGTTGTTGGGCGACAACTCGGCCGCCAACTGGCACTCTTATGCCCACTCCGTCGAGGTGTTGCTCTCCTCGGTTGTCGTCAGCGGATATACCCTCCGTTCCGTCGTGTTCCAGGAGGAAGGCGGACTCCAGCCCATCGCCCCTTCCGCCCCCACCGGACCTCCTCCTGACGAGCCCGGACCTGAGCCCGAGCCTCCTGGTGATCCTCCCACCTTCGCGCCGGATGTCAACAATCCTCAGAGCATGGAAACTGCCATCCGTACCTACCGCACCGCACTCAACGACCACCTTCGCCGTCAACTGCGCTATGAGGACGACAAGCGCGCCTACGACGAGGCTGCTGCCCGCCACCGCGATTACCAAGCTCGACTCGCCACGTACACTACACGTCTCGCCAGCTACACCACCGACATCGCTGCGTGGCGCATTGCTGACCGTCGAGCTCTCGCCATCCTCCTCGCCACTATCCCCTCCTCCCTCAAACGAGAGCTTTCACCTACCTCCTCCTCCCACCTGTGGCAACTGCTTGTCGACCTCTTTGACCGGCAGGACATCGCCACCCTCTATGCCCTCATCAAGGAATTTGGATCCATCACCATGGATTCCACTGCCGGCGCAGCCGCCTTTACTCGCCGCGTCCTTGACCTTGCTCGCCGCCTCGCAGCACTTGGCGTTACCTACCCTGACACTGTCATCTGCTGCCACCTCCTCGAAGGCCTCACTCCCGCCTTCGATGCCCACAAGCTCGCATACATGCAACTCCTCTCCAAGCATGACACTCCCGCTCAAGTTGCCCAGTGGATTATCACCACTGAGGCTGAAATCCTTCGCCACTCCTCCTCCACTGCCGCGGTAGCACAGCAGCGCAGCGGCAAGGGCGGACGTGGGGGAGGGCGTGGAGGTGGGCGTGGTGGTGGTCGAGGCGGCTCTGGCGGTCGTGGTGGTGCGGGTCGTGGGGCAGCAGCGGCCTTCCCACCCTGTCAGTATCTTCCCCTCTATGGCCCCACCCGAGGCCAACGCTGCAACCAAACCACTCATGCAACTGACACGTGCTTCAAGGCACTCAGCGATGAGTGGTTCGCTCGTGGGAACTCTGGCACCCCTCCTCGCTGGTCCGCCCTTAATCCCCGCCCCACTCCCCTCGATGTTCGCACCTCTCCCCTCTACGCCCCCTCCTCCTCCTCCCAGGCCCACCAGGCCTTTGCTCTCCCCTCTCAGCAGCAGCAGCAGCAGCAGCAGCAGCAGCAGCAGCAGCAGCAGAGTGTCCAGCAGCAGGGACCGCAGCAGTATGGGCAGCAGCTCCAGCAGCTCCAGCAGCAGCTTCAGCAGCTCCAGCAGCAGCTCGACCTCCAGCCCCAACTTCCTCTCCTCCCTCCTCCTCCTGTCCCCCAGCAGCAGCCGTTTCCCAGCTGGACCGCCGGAAATGCCGCCTCTGCGGCCCACCTCTCCGGTCCATCCCCTGCGCCGTCCACAGGTGGCAGTGTGACCCCCTTTCCCTCCTCTGGCTTTGTTGGTCTCCTTAGTCAGCCTCCTTCTGTTGCATCTCCTATGTATGCCCCTGCTATTAATGAAACCTCAATTCAGTATTCCGCCTCACCCTCCTCCACCCTTGAGTTCGTCTTGGACAGTGGAGCCACTGATAATGTCTTTCGAGATGCCGGCAAACTCAATCCTCTTCCCACATCCACGTCCCTCCTTGGCGCTGATAGCAGCTTTTCCATCCCCTGTCACAACACCTCCACCCTTCCCTGTCCTCTCTTTCCCTCAGGTACTGTCACAGGTCTTCACATTCCCTCCCTTCGCACCAACCTCCTCTCCCAAAGGTCCCTCCAACAATCCATGATCACCACTCTCACCCCAGGTGGTGCTAACCATTGTGATCTCTACCACACCTCCACAGGTCGTTTCCTCGCCCGTATTCCTTACTGTCCCCGCACCCGTCTATACACCCTTCGAGTTCCTCGCCCCCTCACCTTCCAAGTTGCCTCCCCCCCCCTCTTCCCCCCCCCCCCCCCTCCCCTCCCCTCCACTAACCCACCCGTCCCCCCCCGCCCCCCTGACTCTGACTGCTCATGTCGCTCCCTCTCCCACCCTGCCATCCTCCTCCATCACAGGCTAGGTCACCCCAACTTCGCCACTCTGCGCTCCTCTGTATCCTCCGGTCTCCTCCACGGTCTCCCCTCTTCCCTCCCTCCCCTCCCAAAGTCCCCTGCCCCCCCTTGCGTCCTCTGTGTTCAGAGCAAGCTCAAGCAGCAGCCGCACCGGAGCTCCCCCTCCGCTGCTGCTCAGCCACTTGATCTTGTTCACATGGACCTCTGGGGCCCTAACCCTTCCCCCACTCGCCAAGGCCATCGCTACCTCCTCGTGCTCGTCGATGACCACAGTCGGTACTCGTCCGTCTCTCTCCTTCGGACGAAGGCGGATGCCCCGACCGCGATCATTGCTTGGCTCGAGCAAGCCAACACCCACTTTGGCCGCCCTGTTCGTCGCCTCCACTCTGATGGTGGTGGTGAGTTCCTTAATACCCAAATTTCCTCCTACTGCCAGTCCCGCGGCATTCTCCAGACTCACACCCTCCCTCACTCCCCACAGCAGAACGGTGTCGCTGAGAGCCGTGTTCGGGAGATCACCAAAACGGCTCGGTGTCTTCTTGTCCACGCCTCATGCCCCCCTTCTCTGTGGGGCTACGCCCTCCTTCATGCCGCCCTCCTTACTAACCTCTACCCTCACCCCCTCCTCCCCTCCACCACCCCCACTGAGCTATGGACAAAGGACAAACCCGATGTCTCCCCTCTTCGAGTCTGGGGCTCAAAGGCCTATGTCCTCATTCACCCGTCTGACCGATCCCGCTCCCTTGGAAAGCTTGCCCCTCGTACCCTTCCTTGCGTCTTCCTTGGTCATAACCCCTCCTCCCCCGACTACCTTTTCCTCCACCCCCCTTCCGGTCGACTAATTCGCAGCAGAGATGTCGTCTTTGACGAGTCCACCCCGTACTATTCCTCTCCCCCGTCCACTGACCCACTCCCACCTCTGACCCGTCCCCTTGTCTGGTCTGACACCACACCTCCCCCTCTCCTCCCTCCTCCCCCCATCCTCTCACCCCCTCCCCCTCCGCCCTCCCAGTCCCACGGTGCCCCTCCCTCGTCTGGTGACATCTTTGACCCGGACCCTCTATCTTCCCCTGTCTCCCCCGCCCACTCCTCCCCCGGTGCCCCTCCCCCTCCCTCCCAACCACCTCCCTCCCCCACTCCCCGCACCATACTCACCCGGTATCCTCACACCAGGTCATGTGACAGTATCCTTGGTGCACCGCCCCCTGTTACCCTCTCTACCTCTTCCCTTCCCCCTCTTTCTCCCCTCCTTCACCACTTCTTCCAGGCTGTCTTACACCACGCCTCTCCTGCACCAGCCTCCTCGACCACCTCCCCATCCTCGGTAGCAGCACCTCCAGCAGCAGCCATTGCAGCGGCACCAGCAGCGGCAGGTGCAGCAGCAGCAGCGGCACCAGCAGCGGCAAGTGCAGCGGCAACAACGGCCTCCACAGCAGCACCAGCAGCGGCACCAGCAGCGGCACCAGCAGCGGCACCAGCAGCGGCACGAGCAGCGGCCCCAGCGGTTATCCGCGCCTTCCACACCTCCCTCTCTGAGGACTCCCATGAGGAGTTCCTTGACCTCCACCTTTCCGACCCCTCCCTCCTCCCCATCACCTTTGACCTGTCTGGAACACCAGTCTTCGCCTTTTCCTCTGCTCCCTCCATCTTCGTCCCAACCACGTACGAGGAGGCCATGGCTTGCCCCGACGCCCCGCTCTGGCTTGCCGCCATCATCAAGGAGCTCGAGGCATTTATCGCCAACTCCTCCTTCGTTGATGTCCCTCGCCCTCCCTCCTCTACGAACGTGGTAAAGGGGAAGTGGGTGTTTCGCGTCAAACAGCTACCAGGAGAACCGCCCGTCTACAAGGCCCGGTATTGCGCCAAGGGCTTCACGCAGCGGTATGGTTTTGACTTCTTCGACACCTTCTCCCCCACCGCCAAACCTGCTACCGTTCGCGCTGTACTCGACCTCGCCGCTCGCCTCAACATGGAGATCCACTCGATGGATGTCTCCAACGCCTTCCTGCAAGGCGTACTACGTGAACTCATTTACATGGAGCGCCCAGACGGCTTCCACCTCCCCTTCCCCGCCGACTCCGTCTGGCAGCTGCGCCGACCCGTGTACGGGCTCCGTCAGGCACCCAGGGAGTGGCATGCCAAGCTTGCTGCCACCCTTGCTGAGCTTGGCTTTCGCACCTCCCGCTCTGACGCCAGCCTCTTCCTCCGCACCTCTCCCTCCCCCTTCTACATCCTCGTCTATGTTGACGACATGATCCTCCTCACCGCCGACCTTGCCGAGCTCGAGACTGTCAAGGCGGAGCTGGGCAGCCGTCTCAAGTGCAAAGACCTGGGAGAGCTGCAGAACTACCTCGGCATGACCATCACTCGCGACCGCTCCGCCCGCACCATCTCACTCTCTCAGGGTCACTACCTCCAGCAGGTCTTGGACCGGTTTGACATGGCGCGCGGCAACCCCCAGCCCACTCCCCTCTCGGTTGGGCACCACCTCTCCCCACCCTCCTCTCCCTCTCCCTCCTCCCATCCTTATCCGGAACTCATCGGCTCTCTCATGTACGCCATGGTTTCCACTCGCCCCGATCTTGCCTACCCCATCAGCGTCCTCGCTCGGTTCGTTGGCGCTGGCAAGCACACGGAAGAGCACTGGCAGGCCGCCAAGCGTGTCCTTCGCTACATTCGTGGCACCAAGGACTATGTCCTCACTCTTGGCGGCCCTTCCCCACCACACCTCAACGGCTACAGCGACTCTTCCTGGGCTGATTCTCGACCGGATCGGCGGTCCTCTCAGGGCTATGGCTTCTCCCTCGGCAGCGGTCTCATCAGCTGGCGGTCCACACGCTCCTCTGCCGTCGCCCTCTCCTCCTGCGAAGCAGAGCTCTATGCTGCGACCATGGCCGCGCAAGAAGCACGCTGGCTCACCTTCCTCCTTGATGAGCTCGGAGCCCCCCAACGCTGTCCCACCATCTGGTGTGACAACGCCAGCACCATCCACCTCACCAAGGACGCTGTGTATCATGGGCGCTCAAAACATATTGAGCTTCGCTACTTCTTCATTCGCGATCTCGTTGAGGCCGGCCACATTCGTCTTGGCAAAATCGACTCGGCAGCCAACCTCGCCGACATCTTCACCAAAGCTCTTCCCCTAGCGTCCCACTCCTTCCTGTTGCGTCTCCTTGGGCTCACCCCGCCACCAGTTTTGGCGGCCTCCTGATTACATTTTTTCTAGCCTTATGCATGTTGGGGGGTTGTGTTGTAAATGTATCTTATATATACAACATACATAGGCTAGAATAGGTGTAGCTCTTTAAGCCATTGGGGGGTTGGGTGTACACTCCAACCACACTTTGTGGTTGGGTCAAGATTTGGTTTGGTCTTGGTCCTTGGTTGGCACTTGCCAACATTTGGTCCTAAGGCCAACCAATCACAAGCTAGCAACATTGTGGGGTTCCCTACTCCACAAGGCAACTCACCCATTGGCCAACTTAGTGGCCAATAGGGTTGCACCTTCTTCCAACCTCTCTTCCTTGCATGCTTGTACTATAGAGCCTCCTTGGCTCATTACTCAACCATTCTCTTGAATCCTATCAGTTTTTGCCCTCTTCTGCTATAGTGATGAAACTTGAAACCTAGGCTTGCTGCCACGCATACCTGCAGAGAGGGCTCTTCTTATACGTGGATGACCAGCTGGTGCTGAACATGGAGGTGAGGGGGGGTTGAGGTGAAAGGGAGATCAAAGTCCACCTGTTACTTCCTGCTGCACCACTGCATGCCACGCTACTGCACAGAGGGCTCTTCTTCTACGAGGATGACCAGCTGGTGTTGAACATTGAGGTGAGCTGCACTGTGGCAAGAGAGCTGGTGCTCAACAGCTGGTGCTGAACATGGAGGAGGTGAGTGGCAAGACAGCCACTGTCTGGCACAGCAACATTCACAGTTCACCAGTTACCAACACTCTGACCTGCACAGAGGGCTCTTCTTCTACGTGGACGATCAGCTGGTGCTGAAGATTGAGGAGGTGAGTGGCGAGGCAAGAGGGCCGCTATCTGGCACAGCAACATTCACGGTATGATGTGATGTGACACGATCCCATCAAATCACTGCCATTGTTACCAGCTGGTGGGGCACCCGTCCCGTCCTTCGGGGTCGCGGTTCTCTTCGGGGCTACCTTGGTCAGGCCTAGTCCTGTCCCGGGGTTACGACGGAGTCGTACAAGCCAACCAAAAAAAAAAAAAAAAAGTCCCGTCCTGCAATCCCCTTGACTCTTGCTCTCTTACTCTCTCTTACTCACTCTTACTCTCTCTTACTCTCTTACGCTCTTACTCTCTTACCCACTTACCCTCTTATCTTCTTTATCCTCTTTATAATCTTCTCCATTGCAGGACGAGGAGGGTGCCGGCTCAGCACCGGCCGGCCCGACAACCAGCGACACGTGGCCGCTGCCAGCTGGCGACCACAGTCTGATGTGGATCTGGGTCACACTCAACGCTGACAAGGCGATCGCCAGGCGGGATTCGGCTGAAATCCTGGACATCACCGTGTGGGGCAGCACAGTGGGGGGCGCGCCTGCCTGTGTGCCCATTCCCCCTGGCACTGCCCCGGACCCTGCCACCCTCACCTGGAAGGCCTGTCCGCCTGGTACGCTCCTCCTCTCCTCCTCTCTTCCTCTCCTCTCCCCTGCACGGCACTGCCCCCAAACCCACCATCCTCACCTGGAAGCCCTGTCCCCCTGGTAGGCCGATTCTTTCCTCCTCTCTTCTCTCCTTTTCATCCCTCTATGTTCACTTCTCCCTGTTCCCTCCCCGTCCATTCCCGTCCCCGCACCACGCTTGCTAATGTGCACGTGACCAGGGAACAGCTGATTGGAGCGACGGCCAGCCACGCTGTCGAATGTGCAGTGCAGCTGATTGTGACTGTGGCTGGCCGTGACTGATTCTTGTTGTGACTGTAAATGTGATTGTTATTTGGTTGTTGTGTGACTGTATGAGCAGGAGAGTACAGCGAGGGATCGGGTCTGCCATGTGTGAAATGCCCTGCCAACACATTCAACCCGAGACCCAAGGTAACCCCTCCGCACACCTTTGGACACATGGTGAACCGCGTGAACCTTCTCCGCACCCTTTCAACTCCTCATGAACCTCTACCTGCACTCTCATTCTATCTCATTCTATCTCTCCTAGACGTATCAAATTCCTAATTGTCATTCCCATTTCCAGTCTGGCCCCTCTTGTTTTCTTCTCCCTTCCCTACTCCCTTTCCCCACCAGGGCACACACTCCGTCTGCCTCCCCTGTGGCCCCAGCACCTCATCCCTCCCTCCCAGGCAGCACAGCTTGTACGAGTGCCTGTCCAATTATTTCTCATTCCGCTTTTCCATTCTCCATTCCTCTTTTCTCTTTCCCGCATCCCCTTTCCCTTTCCCTTTCCCCACCAGGGAACCCATTCCGCATGCCTCCCCTGTGGCCCCAGCACCTCATCCATCCCTCCCAGGCAGCACTGCCCTTATCCGTCTGCCTGCCCCGCTTATCCCCTATTCCTTTCTGCTCCGCCTTTCCCTTTATTTTTCCCCTTCCTCCCACCAGGGCACCCATTCCGCCTGCCTCCCATGTGGTCCCGGCACCTCGTCCCTCCCAGGCAGCACAGCTTGTATCCATGTGCCTGTCCCACTCATCACCATTCCCATTCCCATTCCCATTCCCATTCCCAATCCCATTCTCTCTCCACTCTTCCCATTCCATCCCACCACCAGGGAACCCACTCGTCTTGTCTCCCTTGTGGTCCCGGCACCTCGTCCCTCCCAGGCAGCACAGCTTGCACCGTTGGTGACGTCACTGTCCCCTCCTCCTTCTGCACCTTCCAAGTAGCTTCTGATCCGACCACCCGCAGCAGCAGCAGCACCACCGCCACCAGCAGCACAAGTGAAACTAATGCTAACATCACCAACTCTACTGCCACCACCAGCACCCCCTCCCCCTCCTCTCCACCCGCCTCTTCCCCTCCAATCGTCTACGATCTTTCCCCTCTCTCCCGCGTCCATCCTGGCCGCATGTTCGGGCCGATCTTCGAGGATCCAACGGCTGCGGATCGGCAGCACGGGCCCCTGTACTTTGTGTCAGTGTGTGCTTCACCTGCAGGGAGCACAGAGAGGGGAGAGAACGTTGGGGGGAGCACAGAAGGGGGGCAGGGTATGGAGGGAGGGGGTGCTGGAGAGGGAAATGAGGGGAAGCAGGGGAAGGGAAGGGTGGTGGAGTGTACTGATTCGGAAGGGAAGCCTGTAGCGACCATGGCGTGCCGGGTGAGTCCTGGATGACAGTGACGAGAAGGGAATGGGGGTAGGGAACACAGGTGAATCTGCAGTGCGTCGTTGAATGCAGCAAGGGAACTCAGGTGAATCCACAGGTGATGCTGGACGCGCAGCACGGCTCACGAGCTTGTGTCACTCTGTGGTCAGGCAGGCTCACGAGTGTTGCTAATCACTAGTGGTAAACGACTTTTGAGACGTCTCAAAAGACGTGCTTGTGTCACTCTGTGGTCGGGTTTACCAATGTTGCTAATCAACGCTCACCAACGCTCACCAACGCTCACCAACGCTAGTGGTAAGGGATGGGAGAAGAGGAAGGGAGGTCACGGTCACCAACGCTAGTGGTAAGGGATGGGAGAAGAGGAAGGGAGGTCACGGTCACCAACGCTAGTGGTAAGGGATGGGAGAAGAGGAAGGGAGGTCACGGTCACCAACGCTAGTGGTAAGGGATGGGAGAAGAGGAAAGGAGGTCACGGTCACCAACGCTAGTGGTAAGGGATGGGAGAAGAGGAAGGGAGGTCACGGTCACAAACGCTAGTGGTAAGGGATGGGAGAAGAGGAAGGGAGGTCACGGTCACCAACGCTAGTGGTAAGGGATGGGAGAAGAGGAAGGGAGGTCACGGTCACCAACGCTAGTGGTAAGGGATGGGAGAAGAGGAAGGGAGGTCACGGTCACCAACGCTAGTGGTAAGGGATGGGAGAAGAGGAAGGGAGGTCACGGTCACCAACGCTAGTGGTAAGGGATGGGAGAAGAGGAAGGGAGGTCACGGTCACCAACGCTAGTGGTAAGGGATGGGAGAAGAGGAAGGGAGGTCACGGTCACCAACGCTAGTGGTAAGGGATGGGAGAAGAGGAAGGGAGGTCACGGTCACCAACGCTAGTGGTAAGGGATGGGAGAAGAGGAAGGGAGGTCACGGTCACCAACGCTAGTGGTAAGGGATGGGAGAAGAGGAAGGGAGGTCACGGTCACCAACGCTAGTGGTAAGGGATGGGAGAAGAGGAAGGGAGGTCACGGTCACCAACGCTAGTGGTAAGGGATGGGAGAAGAGGAAGGGAGGTCACGGTCACCAACGCTAGTGGTAAGGGATGGAGAAGAGGAAGGGAGGTCACGGTCACCAACGCTAGTGGTAAGGGATGGGAGAAGAGGAAGGGAGGTCACGGTCACCAACGCTAGTGGTAAGGGATGGGAGAAGAGGAAGGGAGGTCACGGTCACCAACGCTAGTGGTAAGGGATGGGAGAAGAGGAAGGGAGGTCACGGTCACCAACGCTAGTGGTAAGGGATGGGAGAAGAGGAAGGGAGGTCACGGTCACCAACGCTAGTGGTAAGGGATGGGAGAAGAGGAAGGGAGGTCACGGTCACCAACGCTAGTGGTAAGGGATGGGAGAAGAGGAAGGGAGGTCACGGTCACCAACGCTAGTGGTAAGGGATGGGAGAAGAGGAAGGGAGGTCACGGTCACCAACGCTAGTGGTAAGGGATGGGAGAAGAGGAAGGGAGGTCACGGTCACCAACGCTAGTGGTAAGGGATGGGAGAAGAGGAAGGGAGGTCACGGTCACCAACGCTAGTGGTAAGGGATGGGAGAAGAGGAAGGGAGGTCACGGTCACCAACGCTAGTGGTAAGGGATGGGAGAAGAGGAAGGGAGGTCACGGTCACCAACGCTGCACTGCACCCTTCTCATCTCATCTCCCATCGAGTTTTGAGACATCTCAAATCTGTCACTACTGGTCAGATTTATTAATGTTGCACATTCCCCAACTCGTTCCATGTTCCTTCCCCCCTTCCCTTGCCCTCTTGCACTAATGTTCCTTTCTTTCCCTTGCCGTGCCCTCCTCCCCTATTGCGCTCAGGTGAATCCTCAGGTGATGCTGGACGAGCAGCACAGAGGATCCCACAGTCTAGGCGACCGGGTCTCCCTCTTCCCCCTCTCGCACCCTCCAAACGCCACTGAACCCCTTTCCAACCGCCCTGAACCCATCCTTGCGCGGAGGGGGCTGGTGATGGTGCTGGAAGGGGAAAGAATTTACCAACTAGACCTTGCCTTCATTCCTGTCTCCTCTCCTCCTCCTCCCCTTCTCTGTTGCGCTCAGGTGAATCCTCAGGTGATGTTGGACGACCAACACCGAGGATCCCACAGTCTAGGGGACCGAGTCTCCCTCTTCCCCCTCTCGCACCCTCCAAACGCCACTGAACCCCTTTCCAACCGCCCTGAACCCATCCTTGCGCGGAGGGGGTTGGTGATGGTGCTGGAAGGGGAAAGATGCCCTTTTTCTGTGCAGGGGGGAGGGGGGGAGGGGAGTAGGTGGAGGATGGGCGCAGATGCGGAGAAGGGGAAGGGGAAGGGGAAAGGGGAAGGCGAGGAGGATAAGTATGGACGGCTGACAATCACGTTCATGTGTGACCCGAATGCAGGTGAGTGGAAGGGGAAGAGGAGGGCCGTGCGAGACTAGCAGGAGGGAGAGCCGCTGTGCCAGCATGGGAGAAAGGTGAGGGGTACAGCTGACGATCATGTTTATACGTGATCCTAATGCAGGTGAGAGCAAACTTTTGAGGCGCCTAAAAAGGTGAGGGGTACAGCTGACAGTCATGTTTATACTAATGCAGGCGAGGAGGGATCCTAATGCAGGTGCGAGCAAAGCGGGGCAGAAGTGGGAGTGCGAGATGGGAACGAGGAGTCATGAGTGTGCGAGAGCAGCAGGTGGGAGACTAGCAGGCAGGAGAGTGGAAGTGCCAGCGTCGGAAATCGGGAGGGAGAGTTATGGACAGCTGATGACCACATGTATCAGTGATCTTATGAGTGGAAGGGTGTGTGTGTGTGAGACTGGGATGAGGGGAAGTGTCAGTGCCTGCCAGCATATTGGAAGAGAGGGAGGAGAGGTACAATGGGTGTTGGGCAAGTTTATCCATTGTAGGCTTGGTGATAGGTGATGATGTGAGGGAGAAGAGTGGGCTTGTTCTGGTGGGTGTGTGAGGGTAGGCGCTGGTTTTTGAGAATTCTCAAAAACCAGCTCGAGAATTCTCAAAAACCCTTTCCATGATGAGGTGAGGGAGAAGAGTGGGCTTGGTCGGGTGGGTGTGTGAGGGTAGGCGAAGGGAAAGTGTCAGTGCCAGCATGGGAAGGGAGGAGGAGGAGGGATACTGCAGCTGGGAATCGCTTTCAATTTAGACCCAGATGCAGCGTAAGTCAAGGGGGTATGGTGGGTGTCTGCGATGGTCGTTTCTGAAGAGGAGGAGGAGGAGGAATAAAAGGTGCCAGTACCACCATCACCCCTCCCTCCACCTAGTTCTTGAATTGAAATTGCTAGCCATATTGGACTCCCTCACTGTTTGAGTCGACTCAAAACATTCTGGACTCACTTGTGAGAATTCTTCGAAGTCATGGAACTGCTGTCACATTGTTGTTCCTGTGCTCCTCCATTCCCCTTATGCCCTGTTCCCTCTCCCACCAGGCATCGGCCACCCCTCCTCCTGCACAGAAGAAGGCAGGCAGGCAGCATTCAACGCGTCCCTCCCCTTCCCCCGTCCCCTCACATCATTATTCTCGTGCTCCCCATTCCCCTGTTTCCCTCCTCCCCTCTCCCCCAGGCATCGGCCACCCCTCCCCCTGGACAGAAGGGGGAAGGCGGGCGGCATTCAACACGTCCCTCTCTTTCCCCGCCTGGAACAAGCGGGGGGAGACCCAGTCCCCGTCACACAGGGGGGAGGCGACGGGGTGGTGCCAGGGTGTGCGTATGAGCTGGCGTGGTACAGCGCGTATGCATGCCCTCTGTGCTCGGAGGAAGATGTGGAGGAGGTTCCAGTGGCGGACTGCCACAACAACAAGCGATCCACCTTCAAGTACCGCCATCCAAGGGTGAGTGTGGGTTTGTGAGGGGGAGGCGACGGAGTGATGCCGGGGTGTGTGTATGAGCTGGCATACACACCACCCCGGCACCACCCCTTCTGTGCTCCGAGGGGGGTGTGGAGGAGGTGCCAGTGGCAGACTGCCACAACAAGAAGGAAGCTACTTACAAATACAGGCATCTAAGGGTGAGTGTGTGGGTCTGTGTTGTGCTATAGCAGCACGTTGCATTCCCTCTTGGTTCGGCACCTTGAAACATGCTAGCTCCCCTTTGCGCCTCTCCTATCTCTCCTGTCTCTTCCCTCCTCCCGTCCCTTCTCCCAGCTATGCTCACCGTGCACTGCAGATGACTACAGCAGCTTCCAGCAAAGCTGCACCTCCTCTCTCCGCCTCCCGCATCTCCCTCTCTCCTCTATCTCCACTCTTTCTCCTGCCCCTATCCCTTCCCTCACCAGGTGTGTCAGCCCAACGCCCAGGCTCCTCTCCCTCCCGACCAGCTCTGCTCCCCGTGCACTGCTAACGACTACAGTAGCTTCCAGCAAAGCTGCACTGACAGCGCGGGCAATCACAACGTCTCCTACTCCTGGAACCTGCCCAAAAACTGCAGCGAGAACCTGCCCGGAGCGGCGAAACTGCCCGAAAATATTATCGTTGGAGAGTGCCTGTTCCAGGTTCGTTACATCCCGGCGAAATACCTTGCTCCGAAATACATAATAATCACAGCGGCTGGAGCTACTGTGATTGTGATGCTGGCGGTGATGTCGGTGGTAACCTGGTTACGCAGCAGGAGAGTGTATTCCATGTACTCCCAGCTGGTAGCAGAGGAAGTGCAGCTGGAGGCGGAGCTGGCAGCCATGGCTGAGCAGGCAGACCAGGAGAGGGAGGACATGCTGTTCAACAGAGATCCTAGCTACCCCTCATAACGAGATGCCCTATAAAGAGGATGAGGCTGCAAGGTACCCCCAGCTCGTAGCAGGGGAAGTGCAGCTGGAAGCCGAACTGGCAGCCATGGCTGAGGAGGCAAACCAGGAGAGGGAGGACAGGACATGCTTTTCAACTGAGGCCGTAATTAACATTACATCATAACCGAACGTCCTATAAAGAGGATAAGCTGCAAGGCGTCTGGCACTAATGGCAGCAGAGGAGGTGCAGCTTGAGGGGGAGCTGGCAGCTGTGGCTGAGGAAGAGGCAGACAGGGAGAGGGAGGCTGTTGACCCAAGCCCAAACTACACATGGGTGGTGGGAGAGATGTGACGATGGCAGAGACGCTGATTGGAACACTGCTTTGAGCAAACTAGAACCTTGAGCAGCTCAGTTCATGTACCGGTAACATTCTCTTGCATTGCTTTCCTGAATCTCATGAATCACAACAGTGAGCGTCTTACCACTCAACAGACCCATTCATTTGACACAGTAAAACGTCAATTTCTAACTCTATCTTCTTGTTCATGCACTCCGAAACTCCACTGTACATCGGACACCTTGTTACTTCACATGCACCTTACAAATATCCTCATAATCAATCCTTGGAATCACCCTCCCATCAAATGCACCCTTCTGAATTTCCACCTTAGCACAAAACTTCTCCGTGTCCACCCCCACCAGCTTCGCCAGGCTACCCCTGTATGCCCCATTCACAACCCTCACCACCCCTCCAATCTGCGGCAGCACCGTTTCCAACTCCTCCTGATCCACCCGCACCACATGCCCCTCCTCCAACGTCTTAATCTCACCAACATATCTATCAATCACGCGCAGCACCACACCTTTTTGCTTGTAATACCCTTTCTCCTTGAGCGCTTTACTCATAATCTTTACCACAATGCCCTCTGTAAGCCAGTAGTCCTTCCGATTCGCCTTCTCCTTTGCTCTCTCCTGCTCTTCCATTAACGCTGCTAGGGTTCCCCCAGCAACTCTACCAGCACCAGATTTGGACCCTGTTTTATCCTCATTCTCCCCGCCTCGCCTCGCCTTTTTTCCTGCCGCGACCCCATCACCATCCCCATCAGCATCATCATCCTCTTCACCAAATACCGGCGCTCCTGTTTTACTCTCCACCTGTAAACCACCACCACCAACACCACCTGCTCCTGCTGCTGCTGCTGCGCTGCTCCCTCCAGCTTTCTGACTCCCACTTGCCTTCTGCGTTCCAGACGACCCACACCCACCACCTCCTCCCCCCAGACCTCCGAACGCGAACGCAATTTTCTCTCCCGTGTTAGGATCGCGCTGCAGGACCTTTCTCTCCGGATCCGCATCCTTCGCCTCCGCATCCTCCGGCTGCTGCTGCTTCGATCTCGCCCGTTCGATCTGCTCCTGAATCTCCTTCTCGTGTCGCTCTTCCCCCACCAGCTCCGCGCGTTCCCGCTTCTTCTTCTGCCCTTCCTTGAACAGCGTTTCTGGCTCGCGATCGATGTACGAGATAAACCAGCCCTTGGGAGTATCCTCGACTTTGCAGAGACCTTCCCTGCCGAGATGCTTGACGAATTCCGTTAACGTCAGCCACTTGGTGGAGTTCATGTGGATGTGATGCCGGTCCGCGATGTACTCGTTATAAGCCACCGTCGCGGCCACGCGGCTGAACCTGTGACTACGTCGAATGTGCTCCATGAAGGTTTTTTCGAACTCCTCGGAATAGCCTCCCACGAATCGCTCCGGGTTCATGCCGAAAACCTGCATCTGCCGTTGATGGCCTTCCGACATGCAGTGGCACTTAAAGCCATTCTCGTCGCGGCACTGTTTCTGACACATCTGGCAATACCATCGCAGCTTCTGCAGTCCCTTGGCTTTAATTCGATTCGCGATGGCCTTCGGCGTAAGAAACTCGTTCTTACCCATGGCTCCCTACCACGCAGAATTGAACGAACTGCCTTTACTTGTCGGTGTCTTAGCTTGATTGGTGGGCCAGATAGACGCACTCCTGATTCTATTGCGGAATAAGACCAGTCCTCCAGTGATGGATAAGTACGAGCGGCAATGAGGGGATTCGAATCGACAGGAGATCGTTTCGTGTCTAGCGCTAGAGATAATCTCACAGGCGACACGAACGGCGTGTTGTAACAAGGCGTACAGAGAGGCACGGAGGATGGTGTGTGGGGCGAAGTGACTACAAAATATGAAGCTCCTAGAAGGTGAACGCAAGGCAAGTTTAGCCTGCACGATGAAACTCCTAGATGCTCTACACAAGGGAATGTTCAAAAAGATCAGATGATTACGCTGCAGCAGTTTAGTAGCTGGAGAAACGACACATAGGCTGAAAATATTGACGTATTTCGAGCAAAAGCGTGTTTTCCGCAGGATGAAATGACACCTTATTGTCTCGGTCCTTGTGTTGTTTTGTAAACCCTTTCGTCTACACGCGGGCTAGATTTGAACCCCTGGGACTCTCTTGGTTGCGAAAGTACGTCTAAATGCGGCTCAGTAAGTTTTGGTACGATATAGAGCTCTCTATGCAATACTTTAACTGGTTGGGTATGGTATCTTTGGGAAGCGTACTTTTGGGAACCACCCACCCTTTCACACCACCTTCAATTCGGGAACTCGAGATATCACAACAGCAGAGCATTTTACTTCAACAAAACGGAGGGATTGCATGCAGCGCCTTCACCCACCCTACACTAGTTTCATTTCAAGTAGCCGTTACGTTGCACGCGGCGATCTAGCAGCATCCCGTGGACCGCGACAGCTTTATACCTGTGGAACGCGTTGAAACAAAAGAATACAGTTTTTCTGTTGACCGAATCTATTAGTCGCCTCAGAAACGGTCAGGAATCCTTGAAATAGTTCCAATCCTCCAGCTTACTCATCTTTTTCTCAGCGGCTATGCGCGCCGAGCCTGGTGATCCGGGATCACAAAGCATCGAAAGCGACGATAAACGAATCGCCGCGACTACCAATGCGGCTGGTGCTTCTGATGGCGGTGGTTCCGTGTTCGTGACGGTGGGTACGACGCGGTTCGACGCGCTGGTAGAAGTGGTGGACAGCCGCGAATGCCGCGCGGCGCTGAAGCAGCGCGGGTTCACCTCCGTGGTGGTGCAGCGAGGGCGGGGAACGTACAAACCGGCCGAGGTACGCGCTGATGAGGGATGCTTTCACCTCTGAGAGTGTAGCGAACCCCGCAGAGCAGAGCCCTCTCTCTCTCGAGCAGCGCGGGTTCACCTCCGTGGTGGTGCAGCGAGGCCGAGGAACGTACAAGCGTGCTGAGGTACGATGGGAGGTATTTGAGGGACTCAACATGTGTGTGTCGGAAATAGAGGATGTTGCGGCGGCCAGCGTTGAAGCGAGGGTTTACTTCCATGGTGGTGCAGCGAGGGCGAGGGACGTACAAACCTGCTGAGGTATGCGTGGTAAGGCACGGCACACACAAGCCTGGATGTGCGGCGCTGAAGCAGCGAACACGGCAGGGAGCTCTTTCGAGCAGCGTACGGATTTTCTTTGCCCACCCACGAGTTCACTGCAGCGATTTCCGTGGGTGGGCTCCTGAGGGTTCTCAGGAGTTCTCTTTTGAGAATTCTCAAAAACCTTCTCAGGGTGAACTCCTGAGAGAGCTCTCGAACAGCATAGCTTCGCCCCCGTGCTGGTGCAGCAACGGCGAGGGGGGGTACTGATGTGACTTTAACACGTTCTCAGCGTAGTTTTCAATGATTTTTTACTTTTGAGACGTCTCAAAAGTTTTCCATGATTTTTGGTGGTATCTCTCTGCTATGCTCCACCTCGTTGTGTGTCAATCAAGATGGCAGGGCGACCCTGACAGCACGGGTGTGGTTGTAGGATACACGGATGTGACTGTAACGAGTTTGAGCTTGATTTTGTGGTACTGTGGTGTCTCCTTTGTGTCCCTCATTGTGCTGTGTGTCAAGATGGCAGGGCGACCCTGACAGCACGGGTGTGACTGTAGGTGCGCAGCTGTTACTGTAACAATCTTTGAGCTTGGTTTCTGTGATTTCTGTGGTGCCTCCCTGTATGCTCCTTTCTGTATGTCAAGATGGCAGGGCGACCCTGACAGCACGGGTGTGACAGTAACGAGCTTCGAGTTCGCTCCCTCCATGGCACCCTACATCAAGCAAGCAGACCTCGTTATAAGCCACGCAGGTAAGTAAACTCACTCGCTTGGATTCTTAGCCGTTGCAGGCAGGTAGAGGGAGGGCTACGTGTCAAACTAAAATTATATAGTTTGTTAAGTTCTAGCCTAGGTGTGCTACATTTTGTTACATTTGTTCTAGCACTAGGGTTAGGGTTTGCTATATCAACCCTTGTATGCACTTGTTCATACTCATTCATTCCGTGGTTCATGTCGTAACACTACGTACTGTCCCTCACCTTCTTTCATCTGCACCTGCTTCTGATCAAGGCATATTCAAGGCGCTGAGGGCAAGCAAGGCGCCGGTGGTGTTGTCGTGGTGGAAGTACTGGTGACCCTTCCCTCCTCTCCTTCCTTCCCCCCTTCACGCCCCTTTCTCATTCTCTCTTCTTCCTCCCCCTCCTGCTCCTCCTCCTCCCTCGTTCTGCCTCCCTCTCCCCTGCTACCCCCCAGGCTCAGGCAGCATATTCGAGGCACTGAGAGCGAGCAAGCCGCTGGTGGTGGTGGCAGCACCTGTGGCCTTTCCACCCCTTCATGTTTCGCTCTCCCCCCTGCTGCCCCACAGGCTCAGGCAGCATATTCGAGGCGCTGAGAGCGAGCAGGCCGCTGGTGGTGGTGGCAGCACCCGTGGCCTTTCCACCCCTTCATGTTTCGCTCTCCCCCCTGCTGCCTCACAGGCTCAGGCAGCATATTCGAGGCGCTGAGAGCGAGCAAGCCGCTGGTGGTGGTGGCAGCACCCGTGGCCTTTCCACCCCTTCATGTTTCGCTCTCCCCCCTGCTGCCTCACAGGCTCAGGCAGCATATTCGAGGCACTGAGAGCGAGCAAGCCGCTGGTGGTGGTGGCAGCACCCGTGGCCTTTCCACCCCTTCATGTTTCGCTCTCCCCCTTGCTGCCTCACAGGCTCAGGCAGCATATTCGAGGCGCTGAGAGCGAGCAAGCCGCTGGTGGTGGTGGCAGCACCCGTGGCCTTTCCACCCCTTCATGTCTCGCTCTCCCCCCTGCTGCCTCACAGGCTCGGGCAGCATATTCGAGGCGCTGAGAGCGAGCAAGCCGCTGGTGGTGGTGGCAGCACCCGTGGCCTTTCCACCCCTTCATGTTTCGCTCTCCCCCCTGCTGCCTCACAGGCTCAGGCAGCATATTCGAGGCGCTGAGAGCGAGCAAGCCGCTGGTGGTGGTGGCAGCACCCGTGGCCTTTCCACCCCTTCATGTTTCGCTCTCCCCCCTGCTGCCTCACAGGCTCAGGCAGCATATTCGAGGCACTGAGAGCGAGCAAGCCGCTGGTGGTGGTGGCAGCACCCGTGGCCTTTCCACCCCTTCATGTCTCGCTCTCCCCCCTGCTGCCTCACAGGCTCGGGCAGCATATTCGAGGCGCTGAGAGCGAGCAAGCCGCTGGTGGTGGTGGCAGCACCCGTGGCCTTTCCACCCCTTCATGTTTCGCTCTCCCCCCTGCTGCCTCACAGGCTCAGGCAGCATATTCGAGGCGCTGAGAGCGAGCAAGCCGCTGGTGGTGGTGGCAGCACCCGTGGCCTTTCCACCCCTTCATGTTTCGCTCTCCCCCCTGCTGCCTCACAGGCTCAGGCAGCATATTCGAGGCGCTGAGAGCGAGCAGGCCGCTGGTGGTGGTGGCAGCACCCGTGGCCTTTCCACCCCTTCATGTCTCGCTCTCCCCCCTGCTGCCCCACAGGCTCGGGCAGCATATTCGAGGCGCTGAGAGCGAGCAAGCCGCTGGTGGTGGTGGCAGCACCCGTGGCCTTTCCACCCCTTCATGTCTCGCTCTCCCCCCTGCTGCCCCACAGGCTCGGGCAGCATATTCGAGGCGCTGAGAGCGAGCAAGCCGCTGGTGGTGGTGGCAGCACCCGTGGCCTTTCCACCCCTTCATGTTTCGCTCTCCCCCCTGCTGCCTCACAGGCTCAGGCAGCATATTCGAGGCACTGAGAGCGAGCAAGCCGCTGGTGGTGGTGGCAGCACCCGTGGCCTTTCCACCCCTTCATGTTTCGCTCTCCCCCCTGCTGCCTCACAGGCTCAGGCAGCATATTCGAGGCGCTGAGAGCGAGCAAGCCGCTGGTGGTGGTGGCAGCACCCGTGGCCTTTCCACCCCTTCATGTTTCGCTCTCCCCCCTGCTGCCTCACAGGCTCAGGCAGCATATTCGAGGCACTGAGAGCGAGCAAGCCGCTGGTGGTGGTGGCAGCACCCGTGGCCTTTCCACCCCTTCATGTTTCGCTCTCCCCCCCTGCTGCCTCACAGGCTCAGGCAGCATATTCGAGGCGCTGAGAGCGAGCAAGCCGCTGGTGGTGGTGGCAGCACACCCGTGGCCTTTCCACCCCTTCATGTCTTGCTCTCCCCCCTGCTGCCTCACAGGCTCGGGCAGCATATTCGAGGCGCTGAGAGCGAGCAAGCCGCTGGTGGTGGTGGCAGCACCCGTGGCCTTTCCACCCCTTCATGTTTCGCTCTCCCCCCTGCTGCCTCACAGGCTCAGGCAGCATATTCGAGGCGCTGAGAGCGAGCAAGCCGCTGGTGGTGGTGGCAGCACCCGTGGCCTTTCCACCCCTTCATGTTTCGCTCTCCCCCCCTGCTGCCTCACAGGCTCAGGCAGCATATTCGAGGCGCTGAGAGCGAGCAAGCCGCTGGTGGTGGTGGCAGCACCCATGGCCTTTCCACCCCTTCATGTCTCGCTCTCCCCCCTGCTGCCTCACAGGCTCAGGCAGCATATTCGAGGCGCTGAGGGCGAGCAAGCCGCTGGTGGTGGTGGTGAACGGGGCTCTTATGGACAACCACCAGAGGGAGCTCGCAGGGGCGCTCGCAGACAGGCACCACCTGGTGCAGGCGGTACCTGAGAGCCTGGTTGCTACAGTGCGGGAGATGGATCTGGAAGGGCTTGTGCCGTACCCACCACCGGAGGCTGAGAAGTATGCTCAAGCGATAGATGAGTTTCTGGGGTTTTGAGTGGACTCAAAGGCATGTGGTGCAGGCCACAGCTGGTGCTGGCGGTATCTGCCAGCCTGGCAGCTACAGTGCGGGAGGTGGATTTGGAAGGGATTGTGCCGTAATTTCCACCGGAAGCAGAGAAGTATGCTCGAGCAATAGATGCGTTTTCTGGGGTTCTGAGTTGACACTACAAGTATCTGGGGTAGAAAGCATGTGGATGTGGTGCAAGCAAGCAGCGTCTGGGATGCACCTGAATGGATATGGACTGGCTATTTCCGTAGTATTTTCATGCCCGCCACCAGGAGTTGAGAAGTCTGCTCGAGCGCTGGATGAATTTATGGGGTTTGTTTAGGAGACGCTTTTGCAGTCTGTGTACAGAATTATTATTATCTTCCCAAAGATGAGTGCTGCTGACTGAGTGGCGCGGAACAGAGCATTGACTAATGCATGAACAAACCTGTGTTATTTATTATGAACAAACCTGTATTAATTGTTACCCATGGCATCAGCATGTTAGCATGTACCACAGTAATAATATCGTTACAGATGCTGCTTTCCTACTGTTTTTGCACATTGCAGTTACTGCTGGTGTACATTGGACCCTGTGCACTTGGGCTTAGAAAAACTGCCTAAGCAACTGTCAAATACAGTGTTTCATGCTAATTTATCGTGCACAGTACAATTCAGGCTTATCCGCCCCTTCTTGCACTTTACGCGTGAATCGCATCAGAAGGGTCTCCACTGATTGGCCAGGGCCCTGTAGGTCACTGCAGAGGTGAGGTGGGACGTTCGGGGGGAAGGGTGAATGCGCACAGAAGACAGTTCAGGTTTATCAGCTGCTTGCTGCACGTTACGACAGAAGAGTCTCCACTAATTAGCCCGGGCCCTTTAGGTCACTGCAGGGGGACGTGTGGAGAGAGGGGACGTTTGAGGAAAAGTGATGTGTGGGAGAGGGAAAAAGGAGGAGAGTGAACAGAGACATGAGTGATAGTGAGTAAAGGAGGAAGGAATCACAGGCGTGCACACATACATATACCACATGTGCTATGTCCTAGAAACTTACCGTAGATGAGGTAAGCTTTTGAGTCGACTCAAAAGCACATGTGCTATGTCCTAGAAACTTACATGAGGTCAGGCTCATGGGGTGTGCTATGCCCCAGAGACCACACGGGCTGCACACTGAACAGTGCCTGGAATGGAAGAGATGAGTTTAGTTTTGAGAATTCTCAAAACTAATCTCAAACTGAACAGTGCATGGAATGGAAGAGATGCTCCGAGCACATCCACCCTGCATGCCCCTCACTAGCCGCCATGCATGCCCCTCACTGGCCACCATGCATGCCCCTCACCGTCCCGCACCAGATACTTACATGAGATAAGGCTCCAGCTACCCAAGCATGCACAGAGGCTGCGCGCTGAACAGCGCCTGGAGTCGATGCTCTGCACATATCCAACATGCATGCCCCGCATTCCTCACAAGCCCTAGACACCACACACACGTACATGAGGTAGGGCTCCAGATCCCCCAGCGCCCACATGGGCTGCACGTTAAACAGCGCCTGGAAGCGATGCTCTGCCGTGGCTGGCAGCTGGTCGCTGGGCAGGAAGCGCACCCACATGCTCTGCGCCCCTCCCAACGGCTCACACTCCACTTCCTCCTCCGTTTTCCCAGCTGCTGACGCTGCTGCTGCTGTTGCCGCCGCTGCTGCTGGTCCCCCCACGTGCTGCAGGATTGCCAGGCCTCTCAGCCACGTGGCGTCCAGGGATTGGGCCATGGCGGGTGGGACTTTCTTTGCCCATGCCTCCATGAAGACAGAGAGGCGCCAGCGAGTGCCTGGGAGAGGTGAATGTGAGGAAAGTAAGCAGTTGGGGCGTGTTCATGATATGAGCGGCACCCCCTTTGCCCATGCCTCCACGAAAGCAGAGAGGCGCCAGCGAGTGCCTGTGGGGGAGTGTTCAAAAGGCAGGCGAGGGGAGGTATGGTCCACACGGGTTTCAGGGGGCGTCTAAATAAGGTAGCACTGGTGGGTGGGTGGGACCTTGTTCGCCCATGCCTCCATGAAAACAGAGAGGCGCCAGCGAGTGCCTGGGAGAGAGTTTGGAAGGCAGCAAAGGGAGGTATGGTTGTGCACAGGGGGGTTTGACTTGACGGGACACCACACCGAAATAATGTATCAATGGCAGGTGGCTGGCACCTTCTGCGCCCAGTTGATTTTTGAGTCGACTAAAAAATCAACTCGGGACACCACACCGAAATAATGTATCATTATTTATGGCAGGTGGGTGGCACCTTCTGCGCCCATGCATGCTTCCATGAAGGCAAAGAGGGTGCAGAGTGGAAGAGTGGTACCTCATCCTAATGAGACGACTTTTGAGGCGCCTCAAACGTCGTCTCAAAAAGTTTGAGGCGCCTCAAAAGAGGGTGGGGAGTGGAAGAGTGGAAGAGCGGTGCCTCATCTCATCCTAGCAGCTTTGCAGCTGCCTTTTGAGGCGCCTCAAAAGCAGCTCAGCAGCTGCCTGGCGTAGTGTGTCGGCAGGCAGGCAGGTACCATGTGGTTGCCTTTGAGAATTCTCAAAAGTGATTTCAAGGCAGCTGCCTGCCACTGACACACTTTCTGCTCAACCATGTGTCTTTGAGTCGACCCAACACAGAAGAGAAGCGACGGCGGGAAGTGGTACCTGATTTCAGCAGCTGCTGTGCGGACTCAGGGGTTTTAGCGAGTTTTACGGCTTGGGTTTGAGAGGTCAGGGGAAGGGACGTGAGTGGGGGGAGAGGGGTACCTGATTCCAGTAGCTGCCGGGCGTAGTGTCGACACACCTTCCTCTCATCCATGTGCATTTGAGTCGACTCAATTAGGCGTCAGGGGAAGGGACGCGAGTGTGTCAGGGGAAGAGGGGTAACTACCTGATTCCAGGAGCTGCCTGGCGTAGTGTCGGCACACCTTCCTCTCATCCAACTCCCACCACACACACTCCGCTCCCTCCCTTCCTCCATTCTCCCCTCCTCCACCATCCCCATCCTCTCCTTCCTCCCCTTGCTTCCCCTCCCCTCCTCTCCCACTCCCCTCTCTTTCCGCCCCTCCATCGTTCCCTTCCCCCCCACCCTCCCCCACTCTGACGCTCCTCGCCTCCTCCCACGCCTCTGTTCTCCCCTCCCTCCGCCTCTTACCAAACACCTTCAGACAATGCCGCACCAGCTCTGCTCTCGGGCCCTCCCTCCTCTCCCCCTGCTGCTCTCCCCCCTCCCCGTTTCCTCCCTCCCCCTCCCCCTTTTCCCCACACATAGCAGCCACAGCAGCAACCTCGGGAATGGCATGTGGCGGCCAGTCATTGGCTGCTGACGTCAGCAGCAGCAGGTGGAGGAGGGATGCGAGGTATGCTGGGTCGACGCCGCGCCACGTGTCACCGATCTATTGGTTGAAACCATGGAGAGGTGGGAGGGCAAGCAGATGTGTGGAAGAGATGGGGGGAAACAATGACTTCTGTAGGCGCCTCAAAAGTGGAGAGGGATGTAACGGAAAGGAGAGAGAGGAAAAGAAGAAGTGGCTGATGATCATTAGTTTGACAACTCCACCTCGCTTGCACTCCTAGATATTACAATCGTATTATCTGAAAAAAATGTGAAAAAAAATAAATATTAAAGAGATTTTTCCAAATGACTAGCTAGCTATTACTTCTCACATTCTCTTGATAATCTCCCATCCACCTACCACTCGCCACCCACCTTGCAACCGCTCTCCACCCACCTTCACAGCACCAGCAGCCTCCAAACCAGCTCGAATCTCCTCTTCGCTTGCCTGCACTCGACCAACCAGCTCCTGCCACGTGTACCCTTTCCGTCTCCCCCTCTTCTTACTACCACCCCCACCTCCAACCCCCTTCACCCCTCCAGACATCCACCCTCCTTCGCCTCCTCCCCCAATCCACCATCCCCTCTCCTCCCACCTCCTCTCTCCCCTCCTCCATCTCCCTCCTCTCCCTCCCCTTCACCCCCTCTCAGCTCCTCCTCCTCCTCGTCCCGCTCGTTATAAGCACATGCAGACAGCAGGTGGGTCAGCCGGGCCAGCCTAGGCGCCACGGGAACAACCTCCAGGTGGCTTGATGCAACTGCTGCTGCAGCCACCCTCGGTATTGTCACATTCTGAAGCTTCTTATCTTGAACAATAACATCTGCACTGCTCGAGGTGTTTGTTGCGATTTCAGGTGCTGCTTCAGGTGTTTTTTCCAGGTGAGTTTTCATGTGGAGGGACGAGGAGCAGCAGGTTGGTGGTGGTAACCAGCTTGAGTGCGAAGGTGCTGCTGCGAGTGCAGAGAACTGCCTCGTCCCCCTCCTCCGGTGTACCCTTTATAACCAGCCTGCGATTTCATCTTGCAGACAACGAGGTGTAGCAAAAGCAGGACAAGAACAGGTGCTTATTATGAGGCGAGAGAGTGAGGAGAGGGATAACAGCAAGGGGGGAGTGTGAGATAAGTAGGCCAGGGAGTAAAGTACGCATAATAATAGGTCACATGAACAGGAAAAAAATGCCACAGTTTTTCTAAAGAAGCATGAGCCCACGCACGCATCCATACCCATCCACACCCATTCACACCCATTCACACCCACACATCGCCTCTCACATTCAGACGCGCGCGCGCATGCACCACACTCGCCCCAACTCACCCGTCGCGCAGCAGCCCCACCAGCATCGACTCGTCCACTTCCGGACCCCTCCCCCTCCCCTCTCCCCCTCCCCCTCCCCTCTCCCCCTTCCCCCCCCCTCCCCTCTCCCCCCCCCCCCCGCTCCCCCTCCCCTCCCTCCCCTCTCCCCCTCCCCTCCCCTCACCCCCTCCCCGCTCCCCCTCCCCTCTCCCCCTCCCGCTCCCCTCTCCCCCCCCCCTCCTCCCCTCACCCCCTCCCGCTCCCCCTCCCCTCACCCCCTCCCGCTCCCCCTCCCCTCTCCCGCTACCCCTCCCCCTCCCCCTCCCCCTCCCCCTCCCCCTCCCCCTCCCCCTCCCCTCTCCCCCTCCCGCCCCCCTCTTCCCCTCCCCCTCCCCCTCCCCTCTCCCCTCTCCCCCTCCCCCTCCCCTCTCCCCCTCCCCCTCCCTTCTTCTCTCCCCTCCCCCCTCCTCCCAACTCTCTTTCTAAGCCATACCACGCCACATAGCCATACAACTACCCCCCCCGCCTCACCCGTCGCTCAGCAGCTCTGCCAGCATCGACTCCTCCACTTCCAGAAGCTTCAGCTCTCCCCCTTCCGACCCCGCTCCGCCTCCCCCGCCCCCGGCGCTTCCCCCTCCCCCTGCTGCGCGCGCCTCCTGCTGCAAAAACGGCAGCAGCGAATCACGACACGCCAGCTGGACGCTGTCGCCGACGGACATGCTGTTCAGGCGGTCCGCCATGGCGCTGCTACAATGAACCTGCGAGACTAGTTTTGAGAATTCTCAAAAGTAAACTCAAGATAACTGTTGCGAAAATGAACCTGTGAGATCGACGGTGTGAATGCTGAGTCGACTCGAAACATGTCCTTACTGCTCGGACATGTGGCACAGGCGGTCCGCCATGGCTCTACCAGGATGGACCGGCGGCGACGGAGAGTGTGGGTGTGCAGAGATGAACCTGCTTCGCTACAGTTGTCTTCGCTAAGTCGGCTCCAGGTGTGACAATCGAAAGCTGGTTATGCGAGTTTGGCTCAGGCACTTGATCGGTACCCAATACAAGCTCCTCTGTTCTTGTCAACAATACACTCTCAACGCACTGAACTTGTCGGCAGAACTTCCACAATTCTTTTTGGTAGTACAAAAATCCCCCACTCCTTCCTTCGAAGGAAGAACGTATGCTTCAAACACTCACAACATTGCTACCAGTAATCCACTTGAAAAAAGGCACCATGCTCAATATGGGGACTAGTAATTCCTTTGCATGTCCAGTCCAACATACAGCCATTTATTCTTGAATGTGTCCGCCATCCATCCAGCCATTTATTCTTGAATGTGTGTGCTACATCTCCTCCCCTTCGATCTCCCTATTCCTCGCCACCACCATCCTCACCCTCTTCCCCATCATCACTCACCCCTATGCTATCACAGTAACCGGGCCTACGTTTTCTTTCATCACCAGCTGCCTATCCTACCCTATCGCCTCTTCTCCATTTCAATCTCTTCTATTTTACTTCCCTCCACTCCCCCATCACCATGCTTTCAGTCCGCTATCCCAATCGCCTATATCCTATCGCCTCTCCTCCATCTCAATCTCTTCAATATCATCATCACCATCCTCATCCTCCTCTTCAGCAGCCGCAGCAGCAGCCGCAGCAGCAGCAGCAGCCAGAGCAGCCTGCTGTGCCTCCCCATTCACCCCCACCCCTGCCCCCATCCCCCCCGCACCCCCAGCTCCCCCAAAGTCGTTCCACGGCAGCATCGCCTCTAGAAACACCATCAGAGGGTTCCTTCCCGCTAGATCCACCTGCTGCCCCTGCCCCTGCCCTGCCCCTCCTCCCCCTGCCCCTCCCCCTGCACCCATTCCCCCTCCGCCACCACCTCCCCCGCCCCCACCAGCAGCACCAGCGCCTGCACCAATCAAGAAGCCGAGGCCGTGGGCTCCCGGGCGGCGCTGGCGGCCGGCTTCATCTTGTTGCATCGCCATGAGCTCCTCGGGCGGCAGAGTCGGGGCGGCGTCGGAGAAGTCGGATAGCAGCAGATGGCGATATCTGTGAGCCGGGATTGACAGAGAGGATGCGAAGGGAGATGTAAGAAGCATGAGCGGCAGAGCACAAAAAGCGTGGAACAAGCACAGAAAGCAGGCTGCTCTGAACCAACCAGGCAAGAAAAATCAGGAGATCCGAGGCAGTTTGAAGGACATCAGTTTGAAGAGGTTCAAAGTAACTGGAGCAAAGTAACTCTTCAAACTGATTTCAGGTTCAAAGTAAGTGGAGTTGGCTCAGAGCACCTGAAAAGCAGATCTGGCATTCACTCACCCTCAGAACTGGTGATGGAAACCACATCTTGCACGGACGCTACATGCCAATCTCCTGTTTCCCTCCTTCCAGTACTGCCAAGAACGACACGAGCCCAATTCTGACAGCACTCACGTGTTCACTCCTGACGGGAAAGACACCTCTCGAACGCACTTCCAGCTCTCATTCCGCCGTCCCCACCGCCCTCCCTCCCCTCCCTCTGTAAAGGCTAATCCCAACCAACCCAGCACACAACGCCTACGAGTTGAAACCAGCACTCACTCGTTCATTCTTGATGACGGAAACGACACCTCTCGAACGCACTTCCAGCTCTCCATCTCCCCGTCCCCACCGCCCTCCCGCCTCTCCCTCAGTAAAGGCTAATCCCAACCAACCCAGCACACAACGCCTATGAGTTGAAACCAGCACTCACTCGTTCATTCTTGATGACGGGAAGGACACCTCCCGCACGCACTTCCAGCTCTCCATCTCGCCGTCCCCACCGCCCTCCCGCCTCTCCCTCTCCACCGTCGCCACTACATCCACGGCCACGCGCTTCAGCAGCGCCTGCACGGCATCCCCCCGCCACAGCACGGCACTGCGCTCCACATACAGCCGCACCAGATGCTCTAATGACACGCTGCCAGGTGTCGTCTTGGCGAACAGAGGGTGCTTCAGAATGGATGTCCAGGATGCATCGGTTTTTATCGGGGCTTTTTCTACAAGACCCTTGAGGACATATCTGGTGGGAGGAGGGAGGAAGAGGGGGAGGATGGGGAGGATGGGAGGAGGGAGGAAGGGAGGAGGGGGAGGGAGGAGGGAAGGATGGGGAATGGGGGAGAAAATGGTCCCAGGAGAACGCAAAGGAGGAGAGAACAGAGAGGAGAGAAGGGAGAAGGGAGGAAGAGAGAAGAGAGAAGAGAGAGAGAAGAGAGAAAAGAGAAAGGAGAAGAGAGAAGAGAGAAGGAAGAAAAAAAAAGAGAGAAAAGAGAAGTGACGAGACGGCCGGCAGGATGGGAGGAAACACAGGCACGATACGTACGGGTGCAAGAAGAGGGCGTCGCGTAGGAGAGATGCGGCATCAGGAGCAGCAGCAGCAGCAACGGCGACGGCACGGTTCCTTCCATTGACTGCCTCCCCACTCCCCTCCACCCCTTCTCCATCACCCTCGGCCTCTCCCAGCCTCGCCTGCGCCAGAGCGAAACAGAAGTTTGGCAGCACTGCCAGTGACGTGTCGCCCCCCCATTGGTCCACGAAATCGTGCAGCCACGTGAATTGGCGCGCTCTGAGGGCGTAGAAGTCTATGCACTGATGTGTGGTGGGAGGGGGTGAAGATGGGTGTGGGCAGTGAGTTGAGGGAGAACGAAGGGGATAGGGAAGGCAGGGAGAAAAGGCAAACTGGCGCGCTCTGAGAGTGACTTTTGAGAATTCTCAAAAGTGAGCTGGCGCGCTCTGAGAGTGTAGAACTCTATGCACTGAAGGGTGGGTATGGGAGGGGAAACGGGTGGAAAGAAGGCGGGTAGCGAGAGGAGAAGGGAGAGTGGGGTTGATTGAAAGAAGGCGAACTGGCGCGCCCTGATGGCATAAAAGTCTATGCACTGGTGATGGGGATGGGGGGGGCAAGGGAGGGCGTAAGGTGAAACTGAGAATGTGGGTGGGGGTGGGGGTGGGGGTGGGGTTGGGGGGGTGGGGGTGGGGGTAGGGGTGGGTGGGCGGATAGAGGGAGCATGGAGGAAAGAGAGCAGTAAGATCGTGTAGTTTGGTGAACTGGCTCGCCCTGAGGGTGTAGGGTGCAGGTCCGTGCACTGATGGGTGGGGGTCGGTGGAGTTGGGGTGGTGGGGGGTGGGAGAAAGGGGGAAAGAGGCGGCAATGAGAGGAGGCGTGAAGTGAACTATGGGCTGCGCGCACACCTGGAGAGCACCAAGGGGGTCGGTGTCGGGGTCTAATGAGAGCAGCAGGCGGCAGAGGTCAAAGGCAGCGCGGTGGCACCCCCTGGGACCCCTCTAGGGTAGGCAGGCTGCACGTAACGAAACACGCACAAGATCAGCCCCACCCCACTCACCTGGAGAGCACCAAGGGGATCTGTGTCGGGATCCAGGGAGAGAAGCAGGCAGCAGAGCTCAAAGGCAGCACGACAGCCCCCCCTGCGAGCCACTGACTGTGGGCAGATCATATGACAGCCACCTGTGGAGGAGAACGGGTCAGCCCCACCCACCCACTCACCTGGAGAGCACCGAGGGGGTCGGTGTCGGGGTCGAGGGAGAGCAGCAGGCGGCAGAGCTCAAAGGCAGCGCGGTGGCACCCCCTGCGACCCACATGTTGCATGTGGCGAAATAGAGCATCGAAGAGCGCCCTGTTGGGCTCGTGCGAAAACTCCAAACTGGGGGAGGGAAACGAGGGAGTGTGGTGTGGGGGAGGAGGCACAGGGATGAGACAAGAGCGGCAGCCCCCTGCGACCCACGTGGTACATTTGGTTTGGCGGAAGAAAAATCGCCCGGTTGGGCTCGTGTGAGAACTCCAAGCTGCGGGAGGGAAGGGAGTTCGGAGGAGGCACAGGGATGAGAGACGTGGTGCATGTGGTGGAAGAGAGCGTCGAAGAGCGAGCGCTCGATTGGGCTCGTGGTGAATGAATCTCCAATCTGGTAGTGTAGGGGGAGAAACGGGAAAGGGAAAAAAGGAAGGGGATCAGCACATGGTGCTTCATGGGAGGAGAATAACAGCCTCTGCAACCCACGCGGTGCATGTGGCAGGAAAGGGCATAAAAATGCGCCCTGTTGGCCTCATTTCCTCTTGCTTTCCCTGTCATCGCTCTCAACCATGAAACTCAAGACGCACTGGCGAATCCCCTGCGACAGGTTGAGTTGAGTTGAACCACGCTGCCTTGAAAAGGAAGATTGCAACGGGCACTCCACCACGCACACCCCCGCATACATGCATGCAGCATTATGGATATGCGCCAGCATGCCAATGGAAAGAGCAGCCAGGCGTGAACACTCAGCGGCAGGTCCCAAGTGAGGGGCTGAACCAGGGATGCCACGCTGCTTCCAACAGGGAGTGCGTCAACGAGCGCCCGACCACGCACACCCCCACATACATCCATGCAGCATTATGGATATGCGCCAGCATGCCAATGGAAAGAGCATCAAGGAGCAGCCAGCCATGCACACACATGCACTGTGCCATGCACACACATGCACTGTGCCATGCACACACATGCACTGTGCCATGCACACACATGCACTGTGCCATGCACACACATGCACTGTGCCATGCACACCCACCGGCATGTGCCCAGCGAGGGGTTGATTGAACCAGCGATGCCACGCTGCTTCCAGCAGGAACAGCGGCAATGAGCGCTCCACCATACTGACACACACACACACACACACACACACACACACACACACACACACACACACACACACACACACACACACACACACATATGCACCGTCTAAGGGCAGAGCAGAGCAACCATCATTTACACGCACCGGCATGTGCCCAGCGAGGGGTTGAACCAGGGATGCCACGCCGCTTCCAGCAGGAAGAGCGCTCGCTCAAGCAGGTCTGCTGACGTCTGCACCTCGCCCACCTGGCACGGAGGGTGGGGGGCATTGGGGGAGAGACCGGGGCGTTTGGGAAAGGCGCGTGTGTTGATGGGGACAGAAGGAGGCGGCGGATGAGCAACGCACTAGTACAGTGACAGGCTGCCTCCAGCAGGAAGAGCGCTCGCTCAAGCAGGCCTGCTGACGTCTGCACCTCGCCCACCTGGCATGGGGGAGATTGAGGAAGAGCAAGGGTCGTTGGAAAAGAAAGGCGCATGAGAATGGGCACAAGGGGCAAGCACTAGCCTCGAGGCATGTACACACACTCTTCCAGCAGGAAGAGTGCTCTCTCAAGCAGGTCTGCTGACGTCTGCACCTCGCCCACCTGGCATGGGGGAGATTGAGGAAGAGCAAGGGTCGTTGGAAAAGAAAGGCGCATGAGAATGGGCACAAGGGGCAAGCACTAGCCTCGAGGCATGTACACACACTCTTCCAGCAGGAAGAGTGCTTTCTCAAGCAGGTCTGCTGACGTCTGCACCTCGCCCGCCTGGCACGGAGAAGAGCAAGAAAGAAAGAAAGGCGTAAGAGAATGGCATGTGGCATGTGGCATGTGGCATGTTCCCTCTAACACGCCCATCCAGCAGTAAGAGCGCTCGTTCAAGCAGGTCTGCTGACGTCTGCACCTCGCCCACCTGGCACGGGGACGAGAAAAGGGGGTTCGGAAAGACAGGTGTGTGTGAGCATGGCGTACGAAAATGGGTAGGCGATGAGCACAGGAGGAGAGGAGGCGGCAGATGGGGTGTGCAGGAGGAGAGGAGCCTAGTGCAGGAGCCACCACAGGCAGAGGAGGCGGCACTAGGCTCAACAAAGGCATGTGGTGGCACACGCTGCACATGCTGCTCATGAAGAAGGGCAGCAGTAGGCAAGGTCGCCTTTAGCAAATGAACGATAGTCAACTAGTCAAGTATTAGGAGGCAGATGGGCAAGCACTAGGACCAAGGCATGTGGTGGCTGGCACACGCTGCTTCCTGCAGGAGCATCGATAACGGTGCATGCATGCATGATGCATCTGTGTGTATGCAGGGAAGAGCCACAAGCAGCCCAAGCTGGTTGGGGACACGGGACGCCGCCGTCTGTTCAAACAGGTGCTGCTTGGTGCTTGATGATTGCTGCTAGCACAGTAGCATGGTCACCTCACCCCCTTCCACCAACCCTCGCACTCACAATAGCATGGTTGCCCCACCTGCTCAAACAGGTGCTGCTGGCTGCTGGCTGCTTGCTGCTGCCACTGGCTCCCAACACCCCCACATGCACAGGTATCACCCCACCTGTTTGTACACTTCGGAGAGTGCTAGTAGACCCTCCACGTGGTAAGGGTGGTGCGCCACAAACAAGGAGAGCTGGTTGGGGTCGTGGGAGGCCACCGTCTGTTCAAACAGGTGCTGCGCCGCCCGGTACGTGGCCGACCGCACGTAGCGAAACACACGCACGGGGAGCCCAGGGAAAGCACCACTGGTGGCACCACCATCAGCAGCAGAAGCAGCAGCAGCACCGCCACTAGTAGCAGGAGAGGCACTAGAAACAGCAACAGTGCCCTTGCTCTCACGCAAAAACTCCATGGTAAGCCCCTTCTCCGCCACTGCACCTGGCGGCCAGTGCTCCCTCTCCTGCACCAGCAACGCCCTCCTCCCCACACTCCCTCCCCCTCCCCCTCCCCCTCCTCCACGCCTCCCCCGCACGCCTCCCCTCACACCCACCCCTCCTCCTGCTCCTCCTACGCCTCCTTCTCCCGCACCTGCTTGCCGCTCCACCAGCCGAATCACCTTGGAGCCAAAGATGCGCTTCAGCTCGTCGTCTGCTCGCAGGAACCGGGTCTCCACCGCTAGAAGCGGCCGCGCTGACGTCACAGGACCCCCTGCTGCCGCCGCTGCTGACGTCATAGGATCCCCTGCTGCTGCTGCTGCTGCTGCTGGTGCTGCTGCTACTGCTGCTTGGCCCTCGATTGCAGCCAAAGCGCGCTCTAATTCACTTTCTTCCCCACTCCCTCCTGGACCTGATTTTTTCTGCTTTCCTCCGACTCCTGCATCCTCTCCTCCCCCTCCCCCCTTCTTCTTCCCCTTCCCTTTCTTTTTCTTCTTGCCACTCTTCCGTTGCCTTTCCATCCGTCTATGCTCTTCCTCCTCCTCTCCCACCCCCTCCCCTTCCCCCTCCTCCTCTTCCTCCGCATCCTCCTCCTTCTGCTGCCCCTTCGCATCCCTGCTCTCACCGACACCTGCAGTGCTCCCCTTTCCCTCCTCTTCCTCCTCCTCCTCGTCTACCTCCGTCTCTCCCTCGCCCTGCCAGCAAGGAAACCGAAGGAAGAGAACCAAACACAGGACCTCTGTTTTTGAGTCGACTCAAAAGAAAAACAACCCAAACTCGGGACCCTGGAGCAAATGAACAAGGGAAGCAGCTTGGGGTAGGCCGATCTCGTGCGTTACTCTAATGAGATACGTTACGAGACGACTTTGGAATTGAATCAAAAGGCACAAAGAAAGAAAGCAGGTTGCGGTTATCATCGCTCGGGAAGGAGTGTCAAAACTTGGAGTGATAAGCAGAGGAAGCAGGTTGGGGGTCGCTCATCATCTCGTGCTGTACTAATGCGTTGCTCCAATGATGAACGAGATCGGAGAGGCAGGGGACAGCGGAGGTTTCCACACAACGTACACCACACGCAAGCTGTCGCCCAGGCTGTCGCAAACCCTGTTACACGCGCCGTCGCACAAGCCATCGCACCAGGCCACAGTTGCGACCCAGCACACAGCACCTACATCCATGTCTAGAAGGTCGAACGCATTCCGCGCAGCCGCTATCAACTTCGAATCATTCTCCTCTTCCTCATCTTCCTCCTCTTCGTCCTCCCTCTCCTCTCCTTCCTCCCTATTCCCTTCCTCCGGTCTTCCCCCTCCCCCCTCCGCGGCCTCCGCGCGCTCCCCCTCACCAGCGGCAGAAGCCGCCTTCAGCTTCCGGCTTTCCGCCTCGCGCTGCTGCTGCTCCAGTAAACGACGAACCATGCGAGTCGACATGGCTACAGTGTGCCACTTCGCATACGACTATCCACGAAAGGACGTACTCGAAAAGTCTATTAGAGTGGCTCCGCGGAAACCACGAGAAGATCTAGCGTAGACCAGAGTGGCCTCTTTGACCACTGCTAGCCGCTGCAGAAAACCACTTTCGTGTAAAGCGAGCCACGAAAGGACGTACTCGAAAAGACTACTAGAGTGGGATTCCGCGGAAACCACGAGCAGATCGAGCGTGTTTGACCACTGCTAGCCGCTGCAAGATGACTAGGTAAAGCGTTTATTGCGGCCGACCGTTGAATTGCCGGTTGCGGAATCGGGTCGGCAAGCTGCTGCGCCTATGGCGCAACTTGTGCTGTACCTGCAGTACAGGTGCGCGGGAATCACAGGCTGGAACAACTACTCGCTCGTGGGAGTCTCTGACAGGGCGTAGCTCGGTAAGAGTACAATGGAAAACGAACTCTGCCCAAATTAACAAAAAGACTACGAATTAAATTAGTACTACACACAGACTCCATAAGTCATCCAACGGATACATTACATACAATACAAAAGTTCCATGATTTTATATATCATGGTAAATCTCTTCTCTCGCACGTACTAGTGTGCGAATACAAGAGAGACCTGGCCTGAATGTATATACATATAGCGGTATGATTTACATGTGACGGTCTCAATAGGTTCAAAATCTCGGCCCTTGAATAGAGGATACGTCACCTACGCGCAAACCTCAGCACCGAACCTGCGCAGGTTCGTTATTTTTAGAGAGGTTCAGTGCGGTCCCAGATCTAGACCTCGATATATTTTTACGCTACCGCACTGAAAAATTTTAGAACCTATTTTAACCCTGAAAAAATGTTATGAACCTGTGCAGGTTCGTTCGAGGTGTTGACGCGCTCTGAGGCTTGTGTAGCCCTCGAATCGAACCACTGGGGATCCACCGATCCCTACTTTCCTTGAAAATCTTCCAACCAAACGAAATCGCCGGAATTCTGCGGTGCAATCGGCGTGCTGGGTCTCGTCACTCAACATGACCCCCTTTCCTTCCTACTGTATCCCTATGCTGCTGGTCTCGTCGTCCCCTTCCACTCTCGACCCTCGATCTCGGGCCATTTTCAGGTGCAATCTACATTTGCGCGAAAATCTACTCATGTGTAATCCATGTTACTGTGCAGGTACGAACACCAAATTCAGTTTTAGGTCTTGCTTTCGATAAGATCTTTTCATCCGATATCCGATTCTAAAAAACACAAACAGCCACAATCAATCCCGATTTCGGATCACGCCAAGCAAAATTCAAATTGTCCCCTCGTATTTGCCCAATTTCGACGATAGCAACTGCTTTGTAGCAGGAGTTTCGCGAAATAAAAGTTATGCTGGATCGGCTGTACTGCTGACGCAGGTGACGGATGGTGTGCCGGGCAAATCACCATTCCCTTCTAGGGCGCGCATGATCCGAAATCGCGTTTGATTGTTACTGTTTGTGTTATTTCGAATCGGAAATTGGATCGAAAAGGTATTATCGAAAGAAATACCTGCACAGTAATATGGATTGCACATGAGTAGATTCTCGCGCAAATGTAGATTGCACCTGAAAATGGCCCCTCGATCTCCACCACACACAGGCGCCTAAAACGGATTATGAGAATCGAGGGCGTGTTTTCATGTTATTGATCCGTGACATCTTCTACACCCACTTCCAGTCCCGCCCACGCTTCAAATCTTCCAACTTTCCCCTACGTGTATTCCGTATATCCGAGAATTCGGCGCCCTCAGGTTGAATTTATTGACAGATCCGTAGACTGAGACGAACACGAACGCCCCCATCGACCCGCCATATTCTCCCTCACAGCATGCCACCGGCAGGCAGCTATCTATGCGCGCCAAAAACCAGAGGTAGTTGGATCCAAACCCAGCCATACTTGTGCCTCAAGACTAGTTTCATGAGACCCTCGACCCACCACACCACCTCGTCCCACCCACCCACACCCCGTCCGCGCCATCCAAGCCATACACGTTCTGCTTGCCGATTTGCAAGGCTAGCGCGCATCCATTTCCACAGCCCTACTTACTGCGCGGCACATTCAGTCTGCTGCAGTGGTAGTGGCGTCACCATACCACGAACCTCCACACAGTCTTCCCTATTTTGGGGATTCGAGCTTATTCCCAAGATCCAGGACATCCATTGACCATTCACCGCCCTTTTATTTTTTCCTCCCTTAACACTTGAATCTTTCCCAATCTGCTCTCATACTACCTTGCCGTACCCTAAACAGGACTACCGTCCACAGACTCCTTCATTGCCTTACCTTGCCGCATCCTAAACATGGACCCAGCAGCGCACCCATACCTAACTTATCGAGCCCACTCGCGTCCCGGCGACATGATCGCAAATTACGCCGACAGCGACGACGCCAGCAGCCCGAAGAAGCTTCGCCGAAGGACCCTGGCATCCGACGTGCTCCCGCTGCCGCTCTGGCTCACAAACACTGTCTTTTTGCTCACGTTCATCTTCTCCTGCTGCTACCTCCTCCAGCAGTGGCGTGAGCAGCTCTACTCGTCCGAGAAGCTTCACGAACTGCTGTGGCGCGATCTCGTCGCCGTGTGCCTCGGTATGGGCTCCTTCATTTATCTTATAAATTTCTTCGGGGTTGGATTCGTGCAGTCCGCCATCGAGCAGAGCATGCTGTCCGAGGAGGAGGATGCGAAGGAAAGAGACTCGGAGGACGATGATGAGGAGGGGGAAGTCGAGGAAGAAGAGGAGAAAGATCCCAAGGAGCTGCTTTCCCCCCACAGGCGCAACCATCCGCGCAACCATCCGCGCAATCATCCGCGCAACCATCCGCGTGGGCATTATGCGCCCCCTCCGCCGGAGCCCTGGTATAAGCCCGAACCGATCCCAACTCCCGCTACTGCCACCCCCGTCACTGCCACCCCCGCTACCGCCGCCCCTGCCACTGCCACCCCCGCTACTGCTACCCCCGCTACAATCACATCCGCGGCGCCCAAGTCCTGCACTTTCAAACTCGACAGCTCATCCTCGCTACAAGACGTCCCGTTACAGGACCTCCCGGACGAGGACATCGCGCGCGCCGTCGCACGCGGCGCCATTCCAATGCATTCCCTCGAAACGCAACTCGGCAACACCCTCCGCGCCGCCGCGGTCCGCCGGCGCGCCGTGGAGATCAAAACGGGCCGCTCGCTCGCGGGACTGCCCCTCGAGAACTACGACTACGACGCGATCCGCGGCGCGTGCTGCGAAATGGTCGTCGGCCACGTGACGATCCCCGTGGGCGTCGCAGGCCCTCTGCGACTCGACGACGCGGAGTTTTTCGTGCCGATGGCGACCACCGAAGGCTGCCTCGTCGCCAGCACGAACCGCGGCTGCAAGGCCATCTGTGCCGCGGGCGGCGCGCGCAGCGTCGTGCTGCGCGACGGCATGACCCGCGCGCCCGCCGTGCAGCTCCCCTCCGCGCTCCGCGCGGCGGAACTCAAAGCCTTCGCGGAGAACCCGCGCAACTGGGCTCTCCTTGCGGAAGCCTTCAACAGCAGCAGCCGCTTCGCGCGCCTGCAATCCCTCAGCGTGGCGGTGGCGGGGCGCAACGCGTTCATCCGCGTGGAGAGCAGCACGGGCGACGCGATGGGCATGAACATGGTGTCCAAGGGCACGGGCAACGTGCTGGGCGTGCTCGGCGCGCAGTTCCCGGACATGCGCGTGGTGAGCATGTCGGGCAACTACTGCGCCGATAAGAAGGCCACCGCTGTCAACTGGATCAAGGGGCGCGGCAAATCCGTCGTCTGCGAAGTCACCATCCCCGGCCACGTGGTATGTTTGTTTTTGAGAATTCTCAAAAACTACCTTTCATTGCATTCCCGTTTCCTGCTCTTATCTCACCCGAGCCCTTCTTTACCCCACACCCTTCTTCTCCTCTGCTCTACTGCCCTCCTATGTATTTTCCACTGCTCCTTTTCTCGTTTTCCTCTTGTTAACCCCTGCACTCCCTGCCCTCGCCTCCTCCTTGCACTCATCCCTTTCCTCCCCTTTTCACTCTCTTCCCTGCTTGTTAACCCCTGCATTCCCTCCATGCACCCTCTTCCCTTCTCTGCTTCCCTCCCCTCCTCCCCTTCCTCTCTCCCCTCCTGTCATCCCTCCTGCCGCTCCTCCCAGGTCGAGTCGGTGCTAAAGACAACAGTTGCCGCCCTGGTGGAGCTGAACACGACCAAGAACCTGGTGGGGTCGGCCATGGCGGGCGCGGTGGGCGGCAGCAACGCGCACGCGAGCAACATCGTGACGGCCGTGTTCCTGGCCACAGGGCAGGACCCCGCGCAGAACGTCGAGAGCTCGCAGTGCCTCACACTGCTAGAGGCGGCTAATGACGGGGCCGACCTGCACGCCTCCGTCACCCTGCCAGCGATTGAAGTTGGGACCGTTGGCGGTGGAACCTTCCTTGCACCGCAGGTGAGCAGGCCTTGTTCTTCCTCCCCTTGTTTCTGTTTGCAGTAACAGTATCGCTTGTAGAGGTGAAAGGTGTCCACTGGGCAGAGAGTGCATGGTGCACCGGCCACCGGGCAGAGGAATTCAACATGGTGTCAGCCGCAAATTTTAGCTACTCTGCCATAACAACCCCCTCACTTCCCTCTTCCCTCCCCCTCCTCTCCATCCCCCGCCCTTGCTCTCAGGCGGCTGCGCTGTCCCTGCTGGGCGTGAAGGGGTCGCACAGCACGCAGCCAGGAGCCAACGCACAGCAGCTGGCGCGGGTGGTGGCGGCAGCAGTGCTGGCGGGGGAGCTCTCGCTCTGCTCCGCCCTCGCCTCGGGCCACCTCGTGCAGGCGCACCTCAAATACAACCGCTCCACGCTCAACTCTGCTTCGTCCGCTACTGCCGCCGCCGCTGCGGTGGCGTCTGCTGCTGCTGGGCCAGCTTCGGCTGTGTCTGGCAGGGATGCAACAAAAGAGGGTGCTCTGGAGGGCCTCTGCATGGTCAGCAAATGCTGACTGAGGGCGCACTCCCTGGGGCTATTAATTCCTTTGTGCCTGAGTGGCCTATCTACAGTCGCCGTGTGGGATTGCTGACTGCTGCAGTTGCTGTCGCTGTTACGGTACTGCTGCTGCTCCTGCTGCTGCTGCTGCTGCTGCTGCTGTTGCTGCTGCTGAAGGTGATGAGGTGTGAGCTGTGTGTCTTGTCTTATGCGAGCTGTGCTGCAGTCAGCTTTCCCACACGGCGAATTAAGAGCGTGTGTGTGCCTGTTCGTGCATTGAAGGTTGGTTTGGCTTGATGATATTTTTCTGGTTTGATTGAACTCGCTTTGGAAACTCGGTGTTTGTCCCCCAAAAGTGCTGTGTTTATGCACTTCTGGGTTTGAATGCTTTTTTTCTGAATTTAATGTTTTTCTAGTATTTGAAGTCTCTCTGGAACAAATATGTTAGTGCACAACTGAAGACTCTGGGGAGTAACTGCTGTTAATTGCAGCATTTTATTACTTGGCACTCTGGAAATACTTGTCTCTCCTAAGAAATCTACCAGTAATTCTGTTTGTGCGGATCAAATTTATTCGATTCATTGTCCAATCAAAACCGAGTGTAGCATCTGCGATATTGACTCGTTTGCAGATTGTGAAGCTCCGGGGGTCAGAATCCATCCACCAGGCGTGTAACGCACGTCACCTCTCATTCACGAATTTCGACTCTGCTCGATTCGATATAATCCACACGCGCAACCTACGCTGCTCGTCCTCCGCGAATTTCGTCTCGCATTCATGGCGACCACCACGCCCGCCCCCTCCCTCCGCGTTTCCCGCTGTAGCTCCTGTCTCCACCACAGCACGGCTTCCTCTTCCCGCCGCTCGAACCGCCTCCGCCCCTGTCCGTCCGCTCCTCTTCCGCTTGTCCCCCTCTCCGCGACAGTTCCGCGCACCCCCCAACTCCGCACCCGGTTTCTCCGCGGGCCTGTCCGCGCAAGCGGGGGAAGCAGCTGGAGACCCGCGAAAGTCCCGTCGGACGACGATGACGTGGCTGCATCTTATTCGTTGAGGGCAAGCGCACCCAGTTCAGGGCCGAGCGGAGAGGAGCGAGGGGCGGGGAGCGTGGGAAGCGGAGAGATAGACTCGCGGGGAGAGAGAGACCCGTGGGGGCGGAGGGAACCTCGTGGAGAGAGAGAATCGCTGGGGGAAGCATACCCGCGGGGGGAGAGAGAGCAACAGCGCGGAAATGCGGGGGATTGGGGTTCGTCGTCGGGGGAATGGCGGTTGTCGACTGGCGGTTCTAGCAGCAGTCAAGGATTAGATTATGAGTTAGACCCGCTAACAAGCAAATCCGGTTACCGTTATAATTACCACACAGGCGACGAAGACCCAGAAGCTAGTAACGAGGACGCCGCGTTCCCATACACGCCCTCCACCCGCGTCACCATCCCCCCTCTCTCCTCCCCCCGATCTCCGCCCACTCCCGCACTCCAGCGCTCGTCTCCCCCCCAACCGCGCCAGTCCTCCCCGCCTCCCCCGCGCTCTCCGCCTCCGCCCCCTCCTCCTCCGCCGCAAATCCCTCCTCCCCCCCGGTCATCAAACCCATTCGCGTCCGTGAGCAAGTTCGCGTTAGCGGGGGTGTTTTTACTGGGGATAGGCGCGGGCGTGTCGGTGGACACGGTTCTGAACGTGGAGCCCAGCAACGTGGCGTCGCGCGAGGTGATCGACCGCCAGACGCCCAACCCGGACATCTGCCTCGCCAACGGCATGAGCGCCATGGTGCTCGACCAGCGCCTCTTCATCTCCTTCAATCCGTGAGTGGCTTAAACGAAGTGGTAACCAGGTAACCCTGCCTTTCCAATGCCATGGGCGCCATGGCTGGGCCAACGCTTCTTTATCTCCGTCGACCCATGACTGTTCTTCTTTCTGATGCGGTAATGCCCATCCCTCATGTCCTCACCAGTTATTGATCTTGTCCAACCGGTGAGGACATGAGAGTTCATTGGTTGCACCAACGTGGTTGCACCCACGTGGTTGCACCCACGTGGCTATCAACCAGGACATCCGCGTAGCCAATGGCGTGAGTGAGATGATGCCAGACGAACACACAGCTTCGTTCCTTAGACCTAGGTTTGCTCTCTGTAAGCATGAGTGAGGGTTGCGACCATGACATCTTGTAATCAGCACGTGAGTCCAGGTATCCTCTGCCCAGGGCGTGCCAGCACATGCAATAATCCAGGCCAAACACTGCAGCGCCGGCCAAATACTGCAGCACAGGCCAAACACTGCAGCGTGGCTCCTCTCCTCGTCGCAATTTTGAGTCGCCTCAAAGTTCACCTCAAGTGGCACTGCTGTTACCACCTTTCCATTTCGCGATTCAGATTCTCGCAATCTGACTCTCTTCCTTCCAGCGCCATATGTACACGCACGGTGTACACATATGTACACTGGCGTGTGTCTCTGTTTTACACGTGGTGTCTGTTCATTGTGCATGTATTCCAAGCAGAAGCCGGGGTGTTTGTTCCATCCATATGCCCCTCCTTAACCCCCTTCTCTCCCTGTCCGCTGCTCTCACCCCTTCCCACCTTCCTGAACCTCCTGCAGCTTCAATGTATATGTGTCCCAAGAAAAAGCCAAGCCCAGTTGTTTGTTCAAGCCCGGTTTTTTGTTCAAGCTTGGTTGTTTGTTCAAGCCCGGTTGTTTGTTCAAGCCCGGTTGTTTGTTCAAGCTTGGTTGTTTGTTCAAGCCCGGTTGTTTGTTCAAGCCCGGTTGTTTGTTCAAGCTTGGTTGTTTGTTCAAGCCCGGTTGTTTGTTCAAGCTTGGTTGTTTGTTCAAGCCCGGTTGTTTGTTCAAGCCCGGTTGTTTGTTCAAGCCCGGTTGTTTGTTCAAGCCCGGTTCTTTGTTCAAGCCCGGTTCTTTGTTCCATGTGTCCCTCCCTATTGCCCTCTTCCTCTGTTCAGTGCTCATCTCCCCCCAGCCTCCCCTGCAATTCGTAGGTGACTTTTGAGTCGACTCAAAAGTCACCTGGTTGTTTGTTTGTTCCATGTGCCCCTCCCTATCGCCCTCTTCCTCTGTTCAGCGCTCATCTCCCCCCAGCCTCCCCTGCAGTTTGTATGTATCCCAAGCTTCGTGTATCCCTGCTTAAGTCAAGCACGGATGTGCTTCGTCTACGCCTTGCTTACCTCTTTCTCCTTCCCTCCCCCTTCCTTGCAGCTTCAATGTGTACGTGTTCCTTTCAGAGGCGAAGCCGTTGTGTTTGTTCTGTCTGTGCGTCCTTCTTAAACCCCATTCTCCCCATGTCTGCTGCTCTTCCCCTCCCCCTCTTCGCCCCCCCCCCCTCCCCTCTACAACTTCAACGTGTATGTGTCACAAGCAGAGGTGAAGCCAGGGTGTGTGCTGCACCTGCCCCTTCATTAACCCCCTTTTTCCCCTGTTTCCTGCTCTTCCCTCCCCTCTACAACTTCAACGTGTATGTGTCACAAGCAGAGGTGAAGCCAGGGTGTGTGCTGCACCTGCCCCTTCATTAACCCCCTTTCTCCCCTGTTTCCTGCTCTCCCCTCCCCTGGGCAGCTTCAACGTGTATGTGTCACAAGCAGAGGTGAAGCCAGGGTGTGTGCTGCGGCAGAGCAACTGGCATGTGCTGGAGTCCAAGGGCCTCGTCTCATCGGACGAAGTGCGCGACTGCAAGCGAAACATGAACACGTTTGGGTTTGTGGGTGACTTGAGGGAGTCACCCGAGGTGTCATGCGTGTACCACAGTGAGACGGCGGAAAATCTGTTTCTAGAAGATGCCAGCAAGTCGAAGATCAGGATTGGGGGGAGTCAGTAAAGTGGGAGATTCGGACTGGGCGGGGGGGGGGGGGGGGGGGGGGGGGGGGAGATAGGGAAGGGGTGGTTTTGAAGTTTTGAGGGGAAGAAAGGGTACAGCAGACGTGTGTGCTTGTCGTCTGTGGCAGCAACCTGTTCTGGAGAATGCTAGCAAGTCATTATTCTGCGTTGGAAGTTTTCTAAACGGTGAAGGATGTGATTATGTGACAGCCTGCATGCATGAATGTAAAGGTACAGACTGTCCATTCACATTTGGTCACTTGAACAGCTGTAATGATGAGGGTAAGACTTTCATGTTCCAATCAGGCTGCACAAAAGATTCTAGGGTACGGAATAAGAGCACCAGAGGTAACACGTTGCATGCTCACTGTATCCAATTCTCTCCTACCCACCAGCCTCATCCATCTACGTGCGGGTGGACGGGTCAAGTGACCAAGTCCGGGAGTCCCAAAGAGCAATTTTCATTCATGGACATTACAAGCGGAACAGCGTCTACCCTTTTCGGAGCGCCCATGTATATGCTAAGCTAGCCAAACGAAGCAATCATTTACATGGAAGCACCAGAGGAATATCATTCTCTTGGTACCATCTAAGCCCTAGGTTGCTGTATGACCCGGGCCCGCTGCTGCCTAGGCTTGGCGACAGTCTTAGAAACAGCTCTCTCCTTCATGCGGTCGTGCTTCCACGACTTATTAACCTTGTTAGTAACCTCTTGTATCAAGCCGCATGGCTCGCTCGACCGCTCCGGAATCTCTTTACGACTGCCTGCCATCTCCATGAACGGAAATAACATGTGTGAGAAGTAAGAAAACACGAAAATAAGTGTCCGTCAGTCCATGAAATGCATTAGTCGTGGAAAGTAGGAAGAAACGGGTCCATTGCGTGTAAATGACGCTTACCTAACAACTCTTGAAACTGCTCGGCAGGAGTATCTTGCAGAATCTCGTCGAAATCCTCATCTACATCCAGTACGTAGAGCTCTTCGTTCAACTCTTCATCAACCATATCTTCCAGCAATTGCTCGTCTACCAACTCCTCCTCCTCATTGCGGTTGCCTGACTCGGTTACTTCAGCTTCCAAGGTAGCGAAGCGCTCGCGAAGCCAGTAGTCTCTAAACGCGGGAGAATTTTGCACCTTGTCCCACCATTCTTGGCTGAAATCCTCGGTGTTTCTAAACGCAGCTGGGACGAAGTTAGGAGCATCGGGATTCAGCAACGACGGCATGGACGTGGGAGAACTTACTGCCATGGTGGTCAACGAGGGTAACTGAGATGTTAAACAAGAGTTACTGCGCGGATAGGGCGAGACAGCTCAAATAAACAAGGAACACCAAGGAGGAACGGGATGAATTCGCGAGAGGAAAACAATAATAATCTGTTGCGTGTAGAAAATGCACCGAAATCTAGGACGGGCCCGTTTATTAGTTTGCGAGGAAGAGCTCAGCGGAAACGGGTCGACAAGCCTGTCGACCTGTGTCGACCTGTCGACCTGCTGCCCCGGGCAGAAAAAAACTAAACCCCCATCGGATGGCATGCCATCCGAGGGAGCCTCAACCCTAAACACCATGCCTCCAGGCGTTTAGGGTTGAGGCTCCCTGACCGGATGCATGCCCGTCTGGGGTTTTTTTTTGCCCGCGGGCAGCGGCGGAGTCGCTTGTCCGCTGAGCTATTTTCGGCGAAAAGTCTCAGGATGAGCATGCTTCCCTGCGCTTCCCGAGGGCCTGTGTTCGTCTGCACTGCAAAACACCAGCAGGACACTGAACCACACCAGCCCTCGGTATGGGGCTGCTCTCTCGAAATCAACGGCGTTCGGTTCCATACGTACCGTTGCCTCGGGTGGGCTTGGTTCTGTGGAAGTCTGGATGAAGCTTGTCAGAAGGTTTGGTTAGCAGGTTCGGCTGGCTGGCAGGTCCCAAGGCTTGCGTGTTCCTCAGATAACTAGGAACCGCCAATTGCGAGCACATCAGGCAAGGCCCATATCTGTCCAGGTTCGAGGTCCAGTCATGCAGGTTGGTTGGTGGTGGTCAGGAATGCGGTTTGGGTGAAGCTAAACATGCAGAGGTGGCGTCATCGATCGCAAATCACGGAACGAAGAAGCCAATCGCTGACCTCGAGAAAGGAGATCCAGCAGGGATTCGACGTGTTTTCCATGTGACACACCGCGTCAATGCTAGCCCACACGCGGTTAGGGACTGCCGAACCCCACCAACCAACCACACTCGAGCACAGCCAGCCCAAAGCGACACCTCAAAGCACTTATTTGAGAAGTTTTTTCATGGGGCCATTTTCAGGTGCAATCTCTACAATTCAGGAAATGTGTTCAGGTGTGATCTCGGCGCCAGGGCAAATCTTTCGTTTTTGAAGGCACGGAAGGCTCCGGGTTCGCCTGAGAAAAGACCCTGAGTAATCAGCGTTCTCTCGAAAGTTACCCTTCCGTGTCCGTGTGTTTTTCCAAAAAATCCAAAAATGCACAAGAGCGGTCCTATCACCTTAGGCGCAAGAGGCTCTAAAACGTCTAAGTTGGTTGGGCAAGGACCAACAAACCTGAAATTTACATTTTGTTTGACGGCACTTATGGGCATCGTTGCATTCGACAACCTACACAAGAACTAGTACCGAGCTAAAATCTCAGGATTGTTTTCGAAACAATACTGAAGTTCCCGAACGCTCAGCCAAATCATCCGGAATGGTCCGAATGATTTCTAGAACGGTTCTGATGAATCAGGGTTAGCCGACAAAACATACGGAATGTACCTGAGTTTCAGAGTGTTTACCCCGATACCGAGAGCCCTGCTCGGCGCACCTTTCCAAGTCTCTGTTGCGCACTGTACACACGTGCCGGAACAGAGCCTTGAAAAGATGCGCCACTCAAATCTATATTCGCTGATGGAAATTAATGCGCTCAAACACGTTTCTTTTACCAACGCTGTCAGAATCCCAGTCACTAACCACTGGGATAAAAGGGCTTGTTTGTGTAGCGGGTGAGTGCGCCCATAACCCCCCAGGCCGACGTGCCTGTAACCCTTCCCTAGGATCAATCGGGGATCACCAGTGGACCTCTGACACCCCCCCGCACTGGGATGCCCGAGGTGCACACACCGGGATTCGAACCCGAGACCTTCGCTCTGATACCATGTCAGAATCCCAGTCACTAACCACTGGGATAAAAGGGCTTGTTTGTGTAGCGGGTGAGTGCGCCCATAACCCCCCAGGCCGACGTGCCTGTAACCCTTCCCTAGGATCAATCGGGGATCACCAGTGGACCTCTGACAAACTAAGGCTACCAGGAATTGCTAAGACATACAAAAAAAAAAAAAAAACAAACAAACAAAAAGCTTTAGTGACCCTGGACTCATTTTTGGGAGATCGACCCTGAACACGGGAACTTCCTAGTGTTTAGGGTTGATGCTTCCCCTAAAATAAAACCCAATCGGAACGGAATCGAATCGGGAAGCATCAACCCTAAACACCAGATGGGTTCCCGTATTTAGGCTTGATCCCTCCCGAAAATGCTTCCAGACCAGTGCCCTAGATATCAGCCTTTTTACGCTGATTCAGCGTTAGATCAGGCTTTTTTTTTAGGGGTAGGCTGAATCCAAAGTTTTTTGTTATGTACCTTGGCTGCTTCAGTGTTTTATTTTTAACCTTGGCTGATTTTTCAGCCTTTTTGTAGGAGTGTAGGCTGTGCACTCAGCCTTGTATAGGGGGTCTAGAGTGAAACCGGCATTACAGTGTACTGCTAATACAGTCAATTACGGGCGAGAAATTGAAAATTCCCCCGCGCGGCACCGCACAGCAGATTCGGCCTTGACTGCAGATTCGCCCTGACACAGTAATTCGCACAACATGTATTCGCCCCGTCACAACACTTCAGATTCGCCCTGTCAGGGCAAATTCGCCCTGACAATAAATTCGTCATGTCACGGACAAGAGATTTGCCCTGACCCGGCAGATCTGCTGTGTCAGAACTGCAACCGAAAATCCAAGCAACCTATGAAACATGAAATCCGCTTCTGTTGGGTCAGACAAAAATGTCTGATACTGAACACGTACCGAGAACCCTGCAGTACACGACACCACAAACATCCACCCCCACGCCACCTTCCCTATAAACTGACGTGTGATATGTTTAATTTTCATGTTTTTATGAATATGCATGATCAGCTTAAAGCGGCAGTATACATTTGTCAGCGGGGTTTAGGGTTTGTAAGTCTGCCTCACTGTTTTGGGGCAACTTTTCAAGTTCCTAGGGAATTTGAACCCCTCCTTTCAAATGTATACCGGAGCTTTAAGATTCTAACCTCACGCTGAAAGTTCAGCCAAAATAAATTGGGTGTTCTGAATTTTCAGCCTAAAAAATTGATGCCACACTGACTCACAGAGCTCCAACAGGGGTGGACGCTGATCGATCAGCGTGCCTCAAAACGAATCTAGAGTCCTGTTCCAGACTCTCTAGGGATTTTTTTTTTTTTTTTTTCGGGTGGTCTTAACAGCTTTGGGTAGTTGGTCTTGCGATGTCGTCTGTTTGATTGCCATCAGAATGTGTTAGAAACAGTAAAATCCGTCAGCTGAATAAGATGTGAGTGGCGGGTCTGCACAAGCACCCCGTCGCGGTACGCGTGTGCAGTAACAGTGCCGTAACAGATCGGAATCACACCTGAATACATTTCGTATACTGTAAAGATTGCACCTGAAAATGGCCCTTATCTATGACACTTCAATGATATACGCGATAAGGAAGTAAAGAAAAAACAAATCTGAAACTGTAATTTGATGGCATTAGGTTTGTACGTCATACATTCAATTGGTTGGTATTAAAATATCACGCATGATACAGATCAAGTATCAAGTGTCGATACTTTTACAATTCCATGAGGGGCTTTTTCACGACTTTAAAAGAGATTGAAATCATAATGACCAAGTGGATGGCCGATCATTTGGGTGTCTATATCAATTAGAAAAAAAAAGGGGTAACGCACATAATTATGCATATATGGTAATCACGTGTAATGAATATGAATTCATTACTGTAGGGGCTTCTCCTTGCGAGGACAGCTTGTCAGAATCCCAGCCACTAACCACTGGGATAAAAGGGCTTGTTTGTGTAGTGGGTGAGTGCGCCCATAACCCCCCAGGCCGCCGTGCCTGTAACCCTTCCCTAGGATCAATTGGGGATCTCCAGTGGACCTCTGACACCCCCCCGCACTGGGATGCCCGAGGTGCACACACCGGGATTCGAACCCGAGACCTTCGCTCTGATAACATGTCAGAATCCCAGCCACTAACCACTGGGATAAAAGGGCTTGTTTGTGTAGCGGATGAGTGCGCCCATAACCCCCCAGGCCGCCGTGCCTGTAACCCTTCCCTAGGATCAATCGGGGATCTCCAGTGGACCTCTGACACAGCTAACCCGAACAGTTCGCGTCAGTTTGGGTTCAGCCTACACTTTGGTCCGAACCACATTCCGAGTCGCCCCGCACCAATCGCGATACATCCAATCCTCAAACGCCACGAAGTTCTCGCCTAGCACGTATTCGCCCTATATTTGGTCGTTCGTCGCATTATCTCGTCATTCTGAAATCACTTCTGCTTCATTCTGATAGTACTGTCAAACATTGCATGTTTATATTGTGTAGGCTGTAGTGGGTTACACCTTAGGGGGTACACAAAGTTAGGGTTTCCTACTTGTACCAAACTCTGTGCTAGTTCATCTCATTCCTGCTCAGTTATTTCTGACATGGTTTCAGAGCAGGTCCTTCGCTAGGACTGTTCTTAGGGCCCACCGACTTACCTACCTGCTTACCTTCACTTGTTTCCGGCCCCGCTGGCCCCGTCGATCTAGCACGATCTAGCGGCCCTGCGGCCCCGTCGAACTTTTTTTTCCTAGCGGCCTCTCACGGCCCCCGTCGCGTCGCCCCTTAGCGCCCCGATCGGCCCCGTCACGCCGCCCGCGAACCGCACAGCGCGCCGCGCTCACAGCCCGCGAACCGCCCACGCACAGCCCGCGAACCGCCTGCGCAGCCCGCGACCAGCCCGCGCAGCCCGCACACAGCCCGCGAACTGCCCGCGAGCAGCCCGCGACCTGCCCGCGAACCCCCGCGAGCCGCCCGCGACCCGCTTACGCAGCCCGCGAGCAGCCCGCGCAGCCCGCGCTGAGCCTGCGCGGCTCGTGCGCTGACCGCCGCCGGCCCGCACGCTGCCCGCACAGCTCACATACGGCCCGCGCGGCCCGCGCACTGCCTGCTACCG